GTGACTTAAAAGTAAAAGGACTAAAAGATTAATTTTTCCTTTTCATAAAAACATAATGATATTTTTTTCAAAATACTCTTATATATCACTCCTTCTATTACCTAGCATAAGCAACGGATGATGTTAGACACATATATATAGAAATGATTTTATGTTTGAAAAAAAATTTTCTTTACTATTTTACCTCCCTACAAATACGTGTACTGTATGATGGTTGAGTAATAAATAGACAGTCACTTAGTTAGAATGGATAATTATGAATACTAATTTTATAAATTTAACATTAACTGTTCATTAAAATTTGTAATTAGTAATATTACTTATATTGGGTAACAAAGATTACTTAATATAAGTGACAAAAGTACTGTGTTTTTAATGTCTTGAATTTGAATCCATGTAAATGCAGAAAACGTTTTTGAAAAAATTATCCTTAATAACTGAGTTCACCAATACTTGAATCTAACTTAATCATATGCTCATATTAAAAAAGTAGTATGTCTTATAATAAATTTTGAACTACTTGATAAATAATTATTAAAAAATAATTAATGTTTTAAAAAAATAAAATAAATAAATGATAATTATTTTGAAGAAAACCAAACTTCAAACTATGGAGGAGGACAATAAGGTTTAAAAAAGAATTTATGATAGTTAGGTTTTAAATTTTTTTTAAAAAAAATAAGTTGTAAGTATGAATTAAAATTTTCATAAATAGAAGTTACAATTATAAATTAAGTGCTTTTTGCTCAAAGAAATACAAATTAAGTGCTATAATTAAAATTTGTAAGTGTTATTAATATTTAAAAAATATTTTTAAATTATCAAAAAATATGTTTTCAAAAAATTATCAAAAATATACTCCCTTCGTTTAAAAGTGTAAGATATTTTTAGTCTTTTAAGATATAATTATTATCTTTTTTTAAGCACTTCTATTAATAAATGACTTCATATTTATTGTAAGATATTTAATAAAGATAAATATAAAAAATATAATTAATTTAAAAATAAATAATTATTTTATTATGGGTGAGATTTAATTAAAAATATTTTATATTTTTTAATAAAAAGAGTAATTGTTATAATTTTTTTTCGAATTTAACCACCATTCTCATTTTAAAAATGCTAAATGAGATGGGAATGCAAGGAGGAGGAAACTCCCATGTCCCATCCCATCAGACTTTCATTTGGATCCTTTAAATAAGAATTTATTGTCTGCAACGAAAAAATCCAAAGATTATTATGAAACCCTTCACACTTTCTTGTCTTTACTGACAGATTTTGTATTCTTCTAATCAGAGAAGGGCGTGACAGTTAATGTCTTATCTGAACGATCTAACCCGCAGGGTTGACTTCTTGATTTCAGATCCAATATTAATTCCCTTTTTTAGCATATTAATTAATCAATAATCAATTACTACTAAGATAAGCTTTTCTATTTTTCATTTCCCCTTTTTATTTAATTGTTGTTTCTAGTCAGGTTTTCTTCCCATCCAAGTCTCCTACATTTAATTAGCGGGGACAAGGATTGGAAGGAAAACTAATCTAATTAGTTTATATAATAATGACTTAGCTTATGAAGTACTTTTCATATTTTTATTATAAAATATTTTTAATTACTTCATATATTTTAAAAAAATTTAATTTTTTTCTTGATATTATAAAAAAATGAAATATACTTTTATTTTTACTCTTAACTTAAAATAAGAATACAACTACATTAAATACTTTTAAATTAATCAAAAAAGGATACAATTAAAATGATGATTTAATTATTACAATGTGTCCTATATTTTAAATTAAAAATTACTTTTAAAAGATATTTTATAAATAAAATTAGAGAAAATATAGTAATAATTGGTTTAAGATAGGAAAAAGGATAATTAAATAATAAAAAATTAATGATAGTTAGGTTTTTCACAAAATTTTTTTGAAAATAAATTACAAATATAGATTCAGATAGCTATAAATAGAAATTTTAATTGTAAATTAATTGTTATATTAAGAATTTAAATATTTTATGTGTAATTGAAACTACTAAATTTGCATATGTTTAAATGGATATTTATAACTTATTGTTTTAAAAATTTGAAGGAGCTACTTGTCATTAATTTTTTTTTTTTGACTCAACTTTCACACCTCCTTTAAGAGATTCTTCAAGTTTTACTTACTCCATTTTATTCTTAATACAAGGCAAACTTAACTAACTTCATACTATAAGCCTTAAAATTGTTACACACACACACATAATATTAAATTGTTGCATAGAAATTTAAACAGTAATAAATAAACAAGCAGTAACATTGAAAAAAAGATATTAATTATTCTAACTTTGCCTTATATTAAGAATAAAAAACTTTTAAAATTTGCTTTATATTAATGATCATGGAGAGTATTTATAAATTATTCTTTACACTATTAAAAAATAAAAATTAAAAAAATATCTAGCATTTTCAAAACTGAGTTACGGTGAAATCATAAAATATGTTATCAAAAAATTCAAATTGTAAAAAATATTTACAATCAATATCATAATAGTAAATAAAGCACATAATTAACATATATTTTCTTTTCAAGACAATAAGGACAGAGTTGTCAATTATTTAAAATTATTTTGACACCCTTATATAGGAACGATGGAGTAAATTGGAACGAGTCGAAGTTTTATTGAATTATTAAGATTTCCTCAATAATAAACTGGGGGGTGTGAATCTTCTTACATTAGAAATTAAAAAAATTAGGAACTACTAGACATTTGAATCCATTGATTAGGAAATTAGTTTAGTTTAATCAAAGGTTTTAAGTTTGAGCCCAAAGTATGCAGCAATGATTAAATTAAATTGTCTCCAAATATAGGAGCAAAAGCAAAAGAAATTAAAAATAGGAGAACTGGGGTTTACAATATTTTATCTTTATTTTTCAACAATGTTATGAGAATGGAATTGACCATTGAATCGATTAAGATACTAGCTCACAATTTAAGACTAGACATGTTGTAATTAAATTAATACATTTAAATATTATAAAGAAGTTTAAATTAATTTTCTTTTTTTGCAGTTTCAAAATCATTATTGATTTTTTGGAGATGGTGATTACATTTTTTTAAAAGGAAACAAGAACTAAATTTATTTGAAAGGATATCTAAGTAAATATTTAGATAAATATAAATGAAAAATGTTTGCATATGAAAAACAAGTTCAAAGAATTAATTGAGAAAGAGATAAGAAGAGTGCTTGCTTATTATTGAGACATTTTTAGAGGCAAATTACAACTAAATTTAAATGATATTATGTGGAAAAAATATAGATAAATAGCTGTAATAACACAGATAAAAAAAAAAGATGTTCATACATGAAAATATAAGTCCAAAGAACTCACACAAAAAATGAACAAAGATGAGGAGGAAATAAAAAAAGAAAAAGCAGTTGGAAGTGCTGGCTGCACATGTTGTTATGGAAAAATCCCCACATATTCCAAGTGTAAGAGAGAGGAAGACGCTGGTGCCTGTGTAAAGGGAAGGATGTGCATTGCTTCAGTTATACAAGGCACATGGGCGACAACTTTTAAAGCTAAATGCCTATAGTAAAGTGTTTTAAGTTGGGCAACTTTTTTAGTTAATTTTAATTTTTTTTGAACGGTCTAGTTCAAAATTATGGTTTAGCCCTTCAGTCTTGGTCTAATTTTTGTCGGATTTAGTTGTTCTTGTGTTCTGGATCGGACTAGGTATTATTTTTTGGTTGAACCGGTTCGATCTCGATCAGCCAATCTAATCCAGTTTTGAAGCATTGTCTCTTATTTGTGTTTAGATATCTATTTTTTATTTATAAATGACTTGACAAGTTGAGTTTCAAATGTCATTTTATATATTAATGAAAGTATTGTATTGACAGTGGGACTTGAAACGATGCCATCTTAATATATGGGATTGATTTTCATCGGTGGAAGCAATATTTGCTGCAAATATTGCACTCTAACTTGTAACATTGGAAATTAGCATTACTATATTTCATCTATTGTAACCGCATTACCTTTTCCATTTAAAAAGTTAAATTCCATTTAATAGAAATCAATCAATAATAAACAAATATAGTATTATTATACAAAAAATCATCAATTGCAATCCATTATTGTTTATTGAAGTTGACCATAAATTTTATAATGTCTTGCCAAACTCAACCATACTTTCAAATTTAATTAGATATTTTTTATAACAAAATTGAGCACACCCGCATATTCATATTTCTTTCGATATTTTTTATAAGTTAATTTTAACATGTTTCAGTAAAAATAAAAAAAATTTAAAATTCATTAGTTTTGTTTAAAAAATTAATATATTTTTAACTTAATCGGATTAAATATTTATATTTTAATAGCATACATTCTCTTATAACATTTAATAAAAAGTAAAAAAAAAAAGAAATTGCGCCAAAAAATTAATAAAGCAAGACCAAAATTTTTCTCTCTCTCCACCTAAGGAGACCAGATGGAGTGCTATAAACTAAACACTTGCAACAATGGTCATCATTATTCACATCTTAATATTAATAATATAACTTCTTATAACAAAATAATTTCAAGGGAAACAAAATCTAAATTATACTGATACTCTTTGAACACTCTAATGACAACTGGATGGGAATGAACTCCAAAGTGAAAACAAGATAAGATTTTTTTTTAACCTAAAAAGATGAATATATGAGCTTGAAGAATGAAGCATGCTGATAAAAATTAAAAACAGAAAAATGCTAATTGAGCAAACGCACAAGCGTAATGATTAATCCATGCTAAACACCATTACTGCGCTTAAAAGCAGAGCTTATTGCGGGTATTATTATTATTATTATTATTTTAATGGCTTGGGGCGAGAGCCCTGGGGCGATACGGAAGTCATCGAGTAATGAACAGAGTTTCCAAGGTAGAAAATTTGGCTGACTTTTGAGTGGTCCCCACCAAAAACTCGTTTTTATACACGAACAATGAACCTCAAAAACAGCTGTAATAATTAACCACAATAGTGTCAGCAATAAAGCAACAAACCCGAAACTGCAAAGTCAATAAGGGCAAGCTCTAGCCTTTTTGGCTGCCATTGCCATGAGAGAAGACTTTCTCATCAAGACCAGGCCGTTACACCCATCGTCCTATAATCCTCTCCTATTACAACTGTAAACCTCTTGCTCTTTGTTCTTGTATTAATTTCTGTGTGTTCTTGTGCTTGTGTCTATTGTCCTCTCATCTTCTCTGAGCTGGGACGGCAGAGTCGGTACCCAATTCCTCTGCGGAAAGCCTTTTTATTTTTCTTAAATAGTTTTGAGGTTTTTGGATCGGTGAGTAAATTTATGGGCTATCTTTTGATTGTTGTTTTGTGTCTGGACGCTTGTGGATGATATCATTTCTTGTTGGGTGATCGGAATTCTTATTTGAATTCAGAGTTATTTATTTATTTGAGTGATTAGGGTTGTTTGACACCCTGTTTTTGTGCAATTTTTTTGTTATGAAGATTAGCAGAGGAGTTACATGTTGACTAGTAGACTTGAAAGGTTGACAAAGGGCTGAAATTACATGGATAACCTTTGCTGCTTCAACTCTGTCACTCAGGTGAGAACTTCTGCTGATTGTTATCCATCCAATCTTGTCTTTCAAATGATGAATCTTTAGAATTTCCCAGGAGAGGATTCAGTTTCCGGCACAACCCCAGGATAATTCATGATAGTAATGTTAGGATCAAGTGCCTATCACTGCAGTAAAAGCTTGAGCTGTTGCTAATAAGGGTGAAACATATTTCCTTATAATTTTTGTTATAAGTCCCACTACGAGGAGCTTCACAAGAAAAGTGGGGTTTATAAGTTTAAAAAGACTCTTCTACCCAATGGGGCTAGTCTTTTGGGATGGATTCGCTCTTTAAACATGTGCTCATGATATTGGTGTTTTTATTGAGAGGTCAATGTCACATAAAAGGCTATCCACACTGGTAGGACTTCGAGTGAAATGCCATAGAGTGGAGTTGCCGTGCATGTCACCTCTCAAACAAAGGTGTATTGTTATGGCTCCCATGCTGGGGAGCCTCATAAGAAAAGTAGGGTTTATAAGTTTAAAATGTTTTTTCATTCAACAGATTAATCTTTTTTGATAGTTTCTTCCTTTGAACTTATGCTCACAACAACTTATGCTTACAACAGTTTCTTTTACCTTTGTCACCTGGCAAATTTGAACCTACAAACGTCACTTTGATGCCACTTGTTAGAATCAAAGGCTTCTTCGTAATTTCTCATATCCACATCTGGTGTGATGGTTGCACCCCTTTTGAATGTCATGGATTTGCACTCACAATTAAGTTCTAGTGATTGTGAATGGCTGAGGAGTATCTCAAATTTTATTCCAGGCATTTTGACCAGAAGGAAAATTGAAACATAAGGATTATTTCTGTTAACCTCAAAACAAGTGGTGATGACAGACAAAGGCAACATAGGTATATAAGGAATCAAATGATGACTAAACTTGAGCTTGTGTGATCAGTTTTAGAATTGGGTTTTGAAGGCTGGTTTCTTGTGATGATCATTTGTGGATTTTTCCTTCACTTCCTTTTTCTGCCTTTGACTATCAATCCCAGAATTAGTGGGAATTGGGAATTAACCAATTACAGAAAAAAAGAAAGGGATCTTTTCTCCCATTTGAGATTCTAGTTAAATAATTGTAGGTTCTTCTTCTTGATCCTTGTGCTGTTTAAGTAATGTTGATCCTGAAACAGGTGGAGGAAAAAGAGTAATTGCATGGGAAAGGGATCTTTTCTCCCATTTGAGACTCTAGTTAAATAATTGTAGGTTCTGCTTCTTGATCCTTGCACTGCTTAAGTAATGTTGATCCTGAAACAGGTGGAGGAAAAAGAGTAATTGCATGGGAAAGTGAGGGCAGGGGGAGATCCATCTGGAACTTTCTGCCAGACGTAGTTTGAGCAGTCAGCCATGAATTTTCTGCTGCATGTTATATTTTTAAGATATTATTGATATGAAACTGCTGCCCCAATTATGTGTGCTTGTGGCAACAAAACTATTTAATTAATCTTCTTTGGATAGCTGGTTTTGCTCTGATTTTCTTTTCTTTCTACATTTGACAATTTTTTTAACATGTCCAAATTTGTTGAATGATGCCTGCCTACTGTTGTTATTATTATTTTATCAAAATCTTGTATATTTTTAGGTTGTTGGAGGACGTTCGTCAAGTAGCTCTGGCAAGGGCAGAAGCCATCAGAGTCATGTCAAGTATGGCTTTAGTCTTGTCAAAGGGAAAGCGAACCACCCAATGGAGGACTATCATGTTGCAAAACTTGTCCAGGTCAGAGGGCAAGAGCTTGGACTGTTTGCTATATACGATGGGCATTTAGGAGACAGTGTGCCAGCCTATCTACAAAAGAATCTCTTCCCTAATATCTTAAAAGATGTGAGTTGTTGATTTGATTGTAAACTGTAGACATTATGTGTCTAGTTATTACAATGGATTGAGTATTGTCCCTTTTCTGATTTATGTTGCATGTAGTATTGTCCCTAAGGAGATTCTATATTTCTATTTCTACTTTTCAACTTCCCATCCTTTTTGGCTATCATTATCTACCATGCAAAGAATTTTTTTTTTTTAATTGATCTTTATGTGCAATTTCTAAAGCTTATTTTCTTTTGATAGCGGTATATTTGGTTAATCTGCTTGTTAAATAATGATGTTCTTCATAATTTAATTATATTCCAGGAGGACTTTTGGACTGATACAGCTAGATCCATTGTAAAAGCTTATGAGGCAACAGATAAAGCAATTCTTTCTCAGAGTCCTGATTTGGGACGAGGTGGATCAACTGCAGTGACTGCCATTGTTATAAATAATCAGAAGTTATGGATAGCTAATGTTGGAGATTCACGGGCAGTTCTGTCAAAGGATGGGCAGGCAATACAAATGAGTATAGATCATGAGCCCAATACTGAGAGGGACAGCATCGAGGACAGAGGTGGCTTTGTCTCTAACATGCCAGGTTTGCTCATAAACTTTGAGATGTATGACATGCTACTCACAAATTTGATGCGGGATTTATAAATCTCACTTATAAGTTGTCCTTAGTAAGGGTGTTATGTGCCTCATTCACAATTTCAAAATTCAAACCACAAGGAGAGAGTGTGATTTACTCTGATGGACATTACTCAATTGAAAAACTGAGCCAGTTGAGATTTTTCAAACTGAGCTGGCATAAGGCTGTAGGCTTATAAAGTCATACATTACTAGTCGTGTTCATGGTGAGGGTCAGGTTGGAAGCTCAAAATCAGTTGAAAATTCTTAGAAACTTAAATTACTAGTCTCAGTTTGCTTCAGTTCCAACCCATGGTTCATTGTTGTCAAATTTTGCCAATTTTTGTTAATCATAATGAATTTAGTCAAGACACTTGGTAATATATCAAAAACGAAAGTACTATGTAATTGTTGATAAAAAAAAAAAGGTACTATATAATTGACATTATTGATAGCCTTTGAATTTGCAATATATGCCTGGAGGAAAGGAGAAGCAGGAGAAAGAAATGAAAAGTATCTCTTACTATTTACTCTCATATGATATTCATGTCGCATCCCATTATCCCCTCTCTAGCTGCACACCACTCTGGTACACCCCATTGTTTCCATTTTACCCTCTTATTGCTACTTTCTCTTGCTTCTCACTTACCCTCTACTTGCCAGTCATTATTTTGAATTTCACCCTCCTTCTCGTTATCACTCCCACTTGCCTTCATTTCAAATCTTTCTAGAATATAGTGGGTATCTATCAGTGTCATGACTCTGAACATAAAAGAAACCTGTCTTGATTTGATAATGGACAGAAAAACATAGATGTCAAGGTTTTAAGTGAAATTAACATGAAAGCTAAGTGTAAAAGGCTAATATTCCTACGGAGAAAGAGAGGTTTACCCTTTAGATACCAAAGGTTCGAATGGCTTGGTAGTATATTTCTATCTAAGATTGTTAATACATGCTAAAATGGACAATTTTAAGTGCACATAAGTTATTATACTATGGATGAACTATTACAACAACGATGATGAGGACAATAAGTCTTATCCTACTAAGTGGGGTTTAGTTATGTGGATTGTATGGCATTATTGCACTCTATCATTTACCAAGTTTTTAGAAATGTTGTTCTTACTCAGTTGTAACTGCCTATATCTTTTATCAGCATCACTCATAATTCACGGTGGCACATGCAATCTCCAGTATTTGGTCTGACTGGTCATTTGGTCTTGTCTCCTAGAACAATAGAAGTGTTGGTGATTGGGATAACAGGGATGGTTAACCTGTAGAAATCTGATATTATTTTTATATTTCAAATGCTAGCATTTTCAAGACATGCCTTGTTGGAAAGTTCAATACGTCTGATGCAGAATGGGATGTGATAATTATGTTAAGTGTAGTAATTCTTGATGTGCACAATTAGAGCTCAGTTGTAACTTATGTTAGAATTTAGTATTTATCTCTTTTTGCATTATTATTTCGTATTCCTTGTTGGATTAGTCTGTTAAGAGTTAGGATTTTGCAAGTCTTAAGCTGACATTTTCAGGACATCCTTGTTCTATAATTAGCGTCTCTCTTTGTTTCAATGTTTTGTATTTGATAATTATTTGTCAACTTGTTGATGTTTCATTAGGAGATGTTGCCAGAGTGAACGGCCAGCTTGCCGTTTCTCGAGCATTTGGAGACAAAAATCTCAAATCACACTTGCGATCCGATCCTGACGTACAACAGGCTAACATTGACCCAGAGACAGAGCTTTTGATTCTTGCAAGTGATGGTCTATGGAAGGTCATACATCAAACCCTCTCTCTCTTATGAGTTAACGAAATCCAATTTAATTCAAAAGCTGAAGTTGTTAATTGAAGGTTCTCCATTTGTTTTCATTATGATTTCTAACATTCTCCGCTTATGGACCTTCATGTGTGGACAAAGATCAAACTCCTGAAGTCATAAAGGCTTCAAAATTATGTTAATGACCACTTTAATTTTAAAAAGCATAGAGTTTTCTTTAGGAGAATAGGATGGTTTTAAATTAGTGGATTAGTTTGAGTTGCTTATTTGGTTAATTTACTGATTTACACTTCACCATCCAATTTTACTCCCTGAACTTTCCTTTTACATATGGCCAATATAAAAATCTCACTTCAAGAATGATGGGAGTTACCATTCACATTTTCCTTAATCTTTCATTCAATGGAATGGAAATTGTCCCTCTTTAAACTTCGTTCTCTTAAAAACTCAGAATCAGGCTCTAAAAAGATTCTTCTTCTTTGCCCCTTTCTTTGTTACTAATGCTGATCTTCTTAACATGGTTTCTCTCACACATCCATATTGCGGAAAAAAAGAACTTGGCAAAAAAAAAAAAAAATCAAAATCTTGGCCATTACCCGGACAGGTCTGGGATTTGTTTTATTTATGATTTGGAGAAGCTTTTAAATTGATATTCTTGTTGATAATCTTCATTGAATCCAGGTGATGGCAAATCAAGAGGCAGTAGATATTGCAAGAAGGATAAAGGATCCACAAAGAGCAGCCAAACAGCTAGCAGCAGAAGCATTGAACAGAGACAGCAAGGATGATATTTCTTGCATTGTAGTTCGTTTCAAGTCATGAAACCGACGAACTTGATAAGATAAATCATTAAAGAGAGATGCAATGCATTGCCATTCAATACCCTTCAATTAGTTTTGGACGTTTCAGTCTCACCAAAGCCAACAAGAAAAAAGTTCATTATGAATTTGCAGTTTTCTGCAGATATTTTCTTCCCCTTTCCCCTACCCTCCTCCTCTTCTGTAAAATTAATTATAAGTCCTTGCAATTTAGGTTGTGCTTTTTGGTGGTTTTGTTAGTTTCTCTTTTGTGTAGATTCATACCATTATTTTTCTCTGTAATCTGGGTTATTAAATGGAGCAATGTGTGAAAATGGCCATAGTGTTTTCCCCCCCTTCATTGAACATGGGATGTATGCATTTGTATTAACTTTTAGTGCATGGTTATACTTGAATGCCCCTTAGCTCAAGCGGCTTAATTTAATCTCATGCTAAAATGCAAACGAGTATTGAGTCCTTTCTGCTCCTTTTTTAAATTTTCTTTTCTTTTTCTTTTCATTTGTTTTTTTCACCCTCCATGCATTGCAAAGTTCATGGCTATTTAAATGAATTCTATTTCCCTTTTTTCTCTTTTTCTTTTTCGAGGAACGTGGTGATTGTGTTTAAAGAATGTGCATTGTTATCAGTCTTTTCAATTATATGATGAACATAGCTTTTTATCAATAAAAATTATATAAAAAAATTCACTGCAAAGATTTTTTTTTTGGTTTTAAATTTTAAAATTATTTTGACGATTCAAAGTTTTGTCTTTAGAGTTTAAAATTTTAATCTTTATAATTAAAAATTAAAAAAATTAATTTTTTAATCTTTTAATTTTTAATTCATTTATAACTCAGTCTCTTAATTATGACTCACTGTGATTTAGTCTCTCAATTATAATTCGTTGTGATTCAGTCCCTTAATTTTCGATTCATTTATAATTCGGTTCTTATTTGTCAAATTTTTTAAAAAATTTCCTTATTAAATAAGGAGGATGAAAGAAATGTTTATATACTGTTCTAAAATATTTCCTTTTGCTCTACAATGTGAGATCTAAACTAACATAAAAAAAATTAATAAAAGTTGAGATACTAAATTATAAGTGAGTCAAAAGTTAAGGGACTGAGTCAGAAGCGAGTTATAATTGAATGATTAAGTCATAACAAGTCATAATTGAGGGATTGAGTTACAAGTAATTAAAAATTGAAGGACTAAAAGATTAATTTTTTTCTCAAAAATTTTGATCTCTCTCCTTTATCTGGTAGCATGGTAGAGGGATAGAAGATGTGAAAGGTATGTAAACTTAATTTAACTAGGTGGCTGCATAGTATTTCATCAGATAATAAACTAGAGTAGATTTGGGCATATAGATGAAGTTTAGTTACTAAAATAAAATGGATTGAAAAAATAAGATAAAAATAAATTAAATTATTATTCTCTTCTATAATAAGCATAATAAAACTTATTAATATATATTATAAATATGAAATTATAATATCCTTAAAAATTTCATGAATTATAATTCTCAATCTTATGAACTAAATTACCTCTTCTCTTTATGAATGTGTTCATCTATCCTTTTTAATATTATATATTTTATCTTTATTTTTTTCAATTAATTCCATTCCATTTCTTTCTAATAAGCAAACAACTTCTATTTTATATATTTAATGTACTTTTATTCTATCAAATTAACTTAAAAGAAGTTGTAAAACTTAATAATAATAGCTTGTGTTTCAAGTAATGGCACCGGTAGTCACTTGATTGGTTTGTTATGTTGGGTTAAAAATATTAGAATTGAAGTTCTTAAATAAGTGAATTTTAATGCATTAATAATATTAAGGAAAAATATAATTTTAAGTCCTTACACTTGCTTGAGTTTTGCTATATATTCTTAGACTTTTTTTTCAATGTTCTAGGAAAAAAGTGCAAGGATTTGGAACACTTAAAAAAAGTATAAAAAACTATAGCAAAATTTGAGCAAAATGTAAAGAACTAAAATTATACTTTCTCAAATATTAATAATAAGAGTTTATTATAGAAAAATAACATATAAAATTTTACATATCTTGATTTAATTGAAAATAAAAATTTTAAATACATAAAGTTAAGTATACACTCTCTTTGGGGCAGTGAAGAGATTTTTTGGTCTAATTTATACATCATCTCATTAAATTTTTATTACAAATTTTCTTATTTATCCTCTATTGAATATTAGAGAGAGAAAATTTGTAGTTAAAGTATGTATATTTATTAATGAGTTTTTAAGGTTTCTTTTAATTTTAGTAAAATATGTTAAAAATGATTTAACAAGATTAGGAAAGTAATTTTTTTTTAAAAGCAAAACCTTAAACTATTGCTGTGCTTGGCTCGCAAAGGTAAATATGAAAGAGAGAAAATGAATAAAAGAAAAAGTAAAGAGATATGATTTTCTCTTATTATGCTTGGCTGAGCGTGAGAAAATATGAGAAGAAGAATTGCTAATTTTATATGTTAATTATTAAATTATTTATAAAAATATTTATGATAAAATTTAATATTTTAACATATTATATATGTAATAATTTTTATCATATATCATTAACTGAAAAAAACATAATTAAAAATTGTTTTTATCCAATATTGATAAAAAATTATTTTATCCAATTTAAAATTTTATTTGTTAAATAATTAGATATATAATAATTTTAAAATTTAAAACTACAACCAAATGTAAGGTATTTAATTGAAAATTAACCTGAAAATTTAGAATTAACATTTTTTAATTAATCTAAAAATTAATATACTTCTTCATTAATACAAGTTCATGATTAAAATGTAACAACACTACAAATTCATGATAAAAATAGAGGAAAGCAAGATGCGACAATGAAAAAATTAGTGGGTAAATTTTGAAATGAAATTTTCTCTTCAAAATCTCCCCCCTATATTTAGAGAGAAAAGTTGAAAGTAAAAATATGTGGGTTTTACATGTTATTTTTCTCTGACTTTTCTCTCTCTTTATTTTTCTCTTCATAATCAAGTAGGAAAAAAATATTGTTTTTCACTGTTTTTTCCCTACCAAGCATAACATATACTCTGTCATTAATATAAGAGAAACTAGGAAACTCACTGTTTAAGAAAGTTGATTATTTGTTAATTATAATAATTATCTCTAAAAATAAAATAATTAGACTAATTTTTTCAATAATTAATGAAACAAATTTGTCTAATAAAAATAAATATTAACTTTATGTGAAACAATTTGGGAAGAATATGATAAATGCTTTTTAAAATTTATAATTTTATTTATAAATAAGAACAAAAAGAAATACGATAATTTCTTTTATATTTGAAAAATGAATAGTTTTATTCATGAATCATAACTGATATAATTTAATTTTTCTCCCCACTGACAAGATAACTTTACTTTTACACTTACAGTGTCAATGAAATACTACACAACTTATTAAAATTGTGATTGTAAAAATAACATCTTATAAAGTCTCACTTTTATGTTCTTATAGTTTTTTCTCAGCTATGTTTTCTTCCCATTTTAAAATTTAAACAAAGTATAAGGGAGATTATATATATATAATATATATATATATATTTTTGTTAATTTGTTAATGTATGCCAAAGAGAGAGAAGCAGATTCGCGGGCACATTCTATGGCCTTTTCTGACTGCCCCGTTTTTCCCTTTTCCTCATTTTTAATCATCAGTGAGTTTTCCTTTGAAAAGCTCGATTCACAGAAAGCGCACGATAGCGCATTTCCTTTGTTCGGCGGCGCACTTGCCACCTACTCCTCTTTCTAAAACCCTCCCAAAACCCTCTTCTTTGGAAACGCCCCGCCCCTCAACGTTTCATTTCTACACACACACACACACACACACTCTATCTCTGTGGTCGATCATGTCGAAATCATTGAAGTTTGTTAAGGAGAATGCTTCCAACCCGAAGCTGTGGTTAGTAATCGGACTCGGTGTTGCCGGGATCGTAGTTCTGGCCGAGACCCGGAGGAGACGACGAAAGGTGAAGACCGTCAAAGAGGGTTTTGGTGCTTTTATTCGGCGTTTTGAGCTTCTTCCTTTCCCTCAACCTCCTCCTCCTGCAGCTAAGCAAACGCTTTCTGGACTAACATTTGCCATAGCGGACATGTATGTTTCTGTTGTCTCAATATGCCTCTGCTACTTTTTTTTTCTTTTCCTTATTCATTTGGAAAATATTAAAAGGAATTTCGCTGACAGTAATAGAATTTGATCGTTTTGATGTCAGCTTGTGAGCGTATGTTGATTTTCGTTTAATTTCTTTCTAGTTCATCGTTCAATGCTTGTTGTGGGGATTGACAGATTTGATGTGAAGGACTACGTGACGGGGTTTGGTAATCCGGATTGGGAGAGGACACATGAGGTGGCGGGGAAGACTGCCATGGTAGTGACTGCGCTGTTGAAGAGCGGGGCGACTTGCGTTGGGAAGACTGTTATGGATGAATTGTCTTTTGGGTAGGAATCTTTATGTTCATTACTTCCATTAATAAACTAAAAAAAGAACCTTTAGAAGTGATTTGTTCAAGACATTGTCAGAATATCGGGTGAGAACAAGCACTATGGAACTCCAACGAATCCTCAGATGCCATCGTGTATCCCAGGAGGTTCTTCTAGTGGTTCAGCAGTTGCAGTTGCTGCAGGTCTTGTTGACTTTTCCATTGGTGAGTTTGTTTGGTCATGTATTGACGATTATTATTTGATTATTATTATTATTATTATTATTTAAAATATTGCCACTTTTGGGGCTGCCAATTTTCCAGGACATCCGTATTGTTTGGAGTTTTTTGATAAAACTGTGACTTATGATACCACATTTGAAATTGAAATGAGATGCTTGGAGAATTTGTCTTTTCAATTGATGTATAACATCTACATATATAGAGGAATTGTCTTACTTATCTTGTTCCTTATACCTAATTATAATGCTTCTTACTATTTGACTCGAGCACCATTTGCTGGCAGTAAATTTAGTTTCATAGTTGTTGATCTATTCCTGCTAGCAACATCAATTTCATGATTCCTAGTCTAGTATTTGTGATTTATTTAATTTGTATGTGTAGCATTGCTCCCTATGCATGGTTTTTTTCTTGTTTTATCCAGCGACTAATATTATGCTGATGAGAACCATCTGCTTTTGTTTTCCTAATTAATATATGTGAACATATGAGAGTGTTGTGTTTTTGTAGGCACTGATACTACTGGAGGTGTGCGAATACCAGCATCCTTTTGTAGTATTCTTGGATTTCGTCCATCTCATGGGGCTATATCCACAGTTGGGGTTCTTCCGCATGCACAAAGCTTAGACACTGTTGGTATGAAGCATTATTATATGTTGTTGGTGATTCGACTTGAAACTGGTTAATTGGAGCTATTAGATACAATGGTTAACAAATCTACAGATGAGTCTTATTCCTATAGCATGTCACAGTTTCAATTCTGTGGCATTTGCCAGGGGATGAAGTGGTGTTTATGGGTTTGCTTTGGTGTTATGTGTTCGGGTGTTTAAAAGTAGTTTTTCCTTTTCTGATTTTCAGGGAGATTAGTCTTCTATGTTGCATATTTACATTTCTGGAGCTTCATTTCATTGCCCTTTTCCTTCTCATTTTTATCATGTTATCCTTTAAAGCAGTACTCTTTCTTTTATCTATCACATTATTCCCAAAAATTCAGTATTGTGAACTGAGACATCATTCTCTCTCTCAACCAAAATCTTATTCCTCCAACTGCTTATTCCCTTGTTTTATAATGTTCCAGGATGGTTTGCCCGTGATCCATCTGTACTGTGTCAAGTTGGAGATGTTTTGCTTAAGTTGAACTCAGTGGAGCCCAGAAGAGCAAGGCGTATTATATTTGCTGATGATCTCTTTCAATTGTCTAAAGTTCCTATGCAGAAGACAGTATATGCAATTAGCAAAGCTGTTGAGAATCTGTCCGGGTGTAAGTTCTTGGACCTTTGAAGACTGGTTGGTTGTGCTTTCAGTCCTTCCATCCTTCCTGAGAATATGGCCTAATGTTAAACCACTGATTTTATAAAATACTTCTATTTCTTGTTTAAAAGAATTATTGATGTTCATTATGAAGTGTTTTGGTCCTTTTGATTTTACAGATCAGTCATCAAAGCACATGAATCTTTGTCAGTATATTGCTTCTAATGTACCCAGTCTAAGGGGGTATTGTGAACATCCAACCCACCCACAAAATGGAGCATTCTTATTGAAAGCTCTCTCTTCTGTCATGTTTTCCTTACAAGGGTAATCTACATGTTTTGAGGTTTCATCACCTAAACTCCACCAATAAATTATACTGTGTTTCATGTTGTATGTTATGGTTATTTATGTTTCTTTTTTATAAAAGAAAGTTATTAAGTGGAAAGGAAAGATGTTTTGCAAGAAAAGATAAAATACTGTTGGAAGTGGGCTTGCCACCCAACCCTAGTTTTCCTTATATATTCAGATTTGATCTGATTGTTAAGATCAGATCCTGAGTATTAAAATCAGACTTTATTCTTCTGTTATTATTGTCATATGTGTATTGAGATAATAGGAGATGTGGCCTTGGGTGATATGATTAGATTTTATCTCTCTTATCTTTCCTATATTTGTAATTGCACTCTGAATAAAATTCAGAGCTTTTTTATACAAAATATTTCATGGTATTAGAGCCAGGTGTGCGATCAATGGCATTTAAGTGAGCTCGGATGGCCCAGCTGTGAGTCTTCAATACAGGGGACAGCAGTAACTCCAAAACGCCGGACTGTTAGGTCTCAAAAGGTCTGGGTTTGAACTCTCCCTTCATGATGTTGAGTTTAGGGGGCAATTTGCTCTCACAAGCATGGTTGTTCATCGATTCAATGGCAACAGTTATCTTCACTGGTCATGAAATTTCTTGATGTTTGTTTGAGGAAGAAATTGAGAAAAATATCTCAGAGAATCCTCCCAACGTCACTGATGTCAAGTTTGAATTCTATTGGGTCGAGAACAATCTAGTTATAGCGTGACTAGTCAATTCCCTGACCATTGAAATTGGAGAAAATTATTTGCTGGGAACAACAGCAATAGAATTATGGGAATCGCAAAGAGGACTTACTCTACACGAGAGAAAATGACTGCATAACACACACTCCAATGGAACTAAATCAGAAGTTGACCATTAGGCTAGATGGCACAGTAGTGAACAAAGAAAGATGTGAGAAGTTGGTAGGAAAATTAATTTATTTGTCTCATACGAGACCTGACATGTTTTCCTGTGAGTGTGTAAGTCAATTTTCCAGCAATATTCAGAAAGAGAACATGACAGCGGTATATTGAATTCTCAGATATCTAAAGAATACCCTAGGACAGGGTCTTTTTTTGCCAAAAAAAATGATGCTAGAAGTGTTGAACTATTCACTGATGTTGATTGGGGAGGTTCAAAGAGTGATAGGAGGTCAATCACTAGATATTGCTCATATGTATGGGGAAATTTAGTGATGTGGAGGAGCAAGAAACCGCCAGTAGTGTCACAAAGTTCAGCAGAGTCTAAATACAAATCTGTCATTGGGAATATGCAGGGTGATGTGGATCATTTGACTCTAGAAGGAGTTAAAGATTGCCATTACTTGTCCTATTGAGCACAATTGCATGAAACATGTGGAGATTGATAGACACTTTATAAAAGAAAAGATAGAAGCTAAGGTGATTGATTTATCATACATTTTATGGCTGCACAAAAAGCCTGATGGTCTAGTAAACCCAGTTCAACCCAATGCAGGCCGGTCTTGAAAAATCTAGCTTGAAAAAGAGACCAAATTGTTAGGGCTAGACTAGACCACTGGGTGAGACCGGGTCTAGGACTAAGCTTCTAAACCAGCTGGTCTGGCCTAGTCTAGATAGGATTTTTTCTGGCAAAAAAAAATATTATAGGTATTAAATAAAAGAGAGCAAATAGGTTTTGTACGGTGACTCCCATCACTCTTGCTCCCTTCTAGCTGGCCCTCTTCTCTCCATTTGCTATCTCACTCACAGTCCCTATTTCTCCTTCTCTCCTTTGGAGTATAGGCTGGACACTTAAGCTTCTTTGCAGAAGCTTAAAGTAATATCGATTTCAACTCCTCCTCCATTTGTGGCTGTCGTTTTGTGCGGGCTCTTCTTTACAGCTCTGTCATTGCTCTCTTCGTTCTCCACTCCATCTACAGTGTCCTGCCATATATGTTGTTGCCTCTTCTCTATGGCTTAGAGTCTTCACTCTTTAGATCTTCATTGCCTCTCCTTCTCAGTCCTTGTGGTTTCGTCATTGATGTGATGATCTACAACTTTAGTAACATTTAGATCTGTTTAACCAATAGATTAAGACCCCATATACTAGATCTGTTGAATCCAAAGATGAAGACCCCAATTCCCTTTTCCCTCTAGTTGTGTGTGTGTGTGTGTGTTTTTTTTTTTTTCCTCTCTCACAGTGATGTTCAGGTGCTGGGAAAGGTGCAAAAATTTTTGTGGATCAGAGGTTGTAAAATTTTATTTTCAAGTTTGCTAGATTCTTGATTAAAATTTTGATTTGTGATTTTTTTTTAAATAGTGACAGTTGCTTTATCTTCATTCTGCTTCTTCTTTATCATTAAGTAATCTGGTTCCATGTTTCATCTGCATCTGGACCATTTTAGCAGGTTTTTTTTTCTTTTTAAAGAAAAAAAAAAGAGGCCAAATCTGGGAGACTGGTCTGGTAACTCGATAGACTAAGTCCAACCCAATTCTGGTCTTAGGTTCCACTAGATTGGACTAATCTTCAGACTAAAATATCTAACCCAGTGATCTTTTAGACTGGACTTTGGGTTTATATCTAACCCGGTTCAATCCAATCTTTGTGCAGCCCTAATATATTCCTTTAGGAAGTCAAATTGTAGTTGTAATGACCAAGTCCTTAACCCAAAGCAGGTTCGAAGTCTTTAGAAACAAGTTAGGAATGATTAACATCTATTTGTCAGCTTGAAGGGGAGTGTTGGAAGTGCGCTTGTTGCCCAACCCTTGTTTTCCTTATATATTCAGATCTGATCTGATTGTTAAGATCAGAGACTGAGTATTGAAATCAGATTTTACTCTTCTGTTATTGTTCTCATTTACGAACCAAGATTATGGGAGAGATATGGGTGATATGATTAGATTTTATCTCTCTTATCTTTCCTGTATATGTAATCACACTCTGAATAAAATTTAGAGCTGTTTTATACAAAATGTTTCAAATACTGATCTGAAATTAAAAAAGGAAAGAGTACAAAAATCAAGACAATAAAGCCTTACTGGGGCAGTCCTAAAATTGCCCCCCCCTCCGGGGGATTCATGAGAGATGCTTTGTGATGAGGATTTTTGTTTTTGTTGTTATTTTTTGTACTGTTCATGTTCATGATTTGGGTCTTTCATTAGAACTCCTTTGGGTGCATCTTTGCATTCTTTTCACTAAAGAAATCCATTTAAATTTTGATACCTGATTGTGAATTATGACTGTTTAAAAGGAAGTAATTTCATTGTCATATGGTATTCATTGTGTAGGAAGCCTATCATCTATATATATATATATATATATATATGCTTTTCCTTTTTTATATCATTCCTTCTTAGGTGCAACTGACCATGGCAGGAGGATTATGAAATGTTTATGTAATGGTCTATTAATCTGTTCTAAAGACATTGATTTTATCTTCAATGTATTGCTTAGAGTTAAAATAATTTTAGTGAGTGTTGCAACTAGCTCTGGAAAATCTGGAACTGGAAAAAAAAATGCAAAGGCTGAAGTGAAGTTTACTTGCTGTTTTCTGAGATATCAAGGCTAAACCCACTGTGGTTCTAGCTTTTATTATCATACTATAATATAATATGCTTAGAGTTTTATGCTTTAAACTGCATAGTTGATATTTTTATTTGTCCACTGTCTAGCTATGCTTTAATGAGAAAGTAACTATTTGGTTGGCAATAGGTAATAATTACTCTGGCACTTATTCTTTTTGGGATAAAAAGGAAAGTTCATTGAAGAGAAGAGGGAACAATACAAGAACAGGGAGCAATGCATCCTCTGGTTTATAAATTATTGTGACTGAATTTTTACCAATTCAGTGGGAACCACCCAAAAAGGGGGTCTGTAGAACCTATAATCCTTTCTGGTGTTGTACTTAAGTCTGAAAGAATATGCCATCTTTGAAATATTAGTGGCAAATTGACATTATGCTGTTGGAACACTTAGTTTTTGGGGGGAGGATATGGTCATTGCTGTGTAGCATTCTGGAGGCTTAAATCTTTCCATTATTTTTCTAATTTGAAACTCATATTTGGCAAAATATTAGTTTCATTTAAAGCATGTCTAGGTAGTGCACATTTGTAGTTGTTAGTGTTAACTGTTTTTGAGCAAAAAGAAAATGTAAATGTAAACGCTTGTCTTATAAAAAAAAAAAAAAGTAAATTTGTTTGGAAATGTTCCTTATCTCTCTTAAAAGTTTCCTATCAAATGTACTAGTTTCTGAAATTATTACCATGACAAGTTTAAAAGCTGGGAAACATGGATATCGACAAGGACATGAGACACAGCACTAACATGTGCATAGCAACATGACAAAATTTGAAGTATTTGATTGTGTTTTAAAGTAGCGTTGAGGCTAATGTGAGTGTTCTATGTGTCAGACATGGGCACAACCCTTTTTTGAAGCTTCTATATCATATTTGAAAGGCTTCTTATTTTTCTTTGCAGTTAATGGTGGATGCTCTTTAAAGTATGTGTCATGTAGTGTGCTCATATCTTTTTTTGTTAGACATACTGTATCGAAGTTTTCTGTTCAGAGCTTGATTCTTCTTGACAAGCTTAAGTGATGCTTGCATCTTCATTTCAGGTACGAGTTCAAAACAAATCACGAAGAATGGATTGAATCAGTCAAACCCCGGTTAGGTTGTAGTGTGTTTGATTGTGTTAGTGCAGCCACTGGTGCTGCATATGATAACATAAAAACCTTGTACAAAGTTAAGAATGAGATGCGAGGTGCTTTTCAAAGTTTGTTGAAGGTACCATAACATCTGTGGTTATTCCTCGGTAGTTTTAGTGTGTTTATCAATAATTCAAGATTTAAATGATTTTACACAAAAAATGAAATAGAAAGATATGTTGTTACTTTCCTTTCTCATGAAGATATCCTGATAATAGAATGACCAGTTATTTGTTTATTTGTTTTCTGTTCCTGTAGTTGATATCCTTGCTATTATTCTGTTTGCTTTCTAATTTGCCACTGAATTTCTTGAGACAAGTAATCATTATAGGATAGATGGAAATACAGGGTCAGAATAAAAGCCTAACGTCGTAATAAACCTATTATTAAAAAATTTAATGTCTTCAAGAATAAATAAAAGATTATATTAGAAAAGCTACCCCACCTAGTAGGATAAGGCTGCTTGTTGTAGAAAAGCTAAGAAATAATAAAAAGAGATATAATATTTATTCTGTGATATTCAAGGTTTACTGAAGAATTATAACAATATATTTTCAAATAAAAGTTGGGAAGACATTCTTGAGACAGAATTTTACTCACATTGGAAGATAACCAAGATTTTTGATTCTTTTTATGAAGTGGCAAAGTAATATGGAAGTTCTAGTGTCCACTCATGTTAAGTTCTTACCACCTTTGTTTTGATTGTACCAGGACGATGGAATACTAGTTATTCCCACTGTTGCAGACAGTCCTTTAAAGCTTAATACAAAGAAACGGTTTTCTTCTGAGTTTTATGACAGAACTTTTGCATTATCAAGCATTTCTAGTATGTCTGGATGTTGTCAGGTAATTTAAAATGTTTAGGATTTAGTTATGATCCTCTTTTCCCCCTTTCACAATTAGTTATTGATCTGACACTGACTGACTTATATAGTAGTTTTACATCATTTACAGGTTACAGTTCCCTTAGGATATTTCAATGATTGTCCTGTTTCTTTCTCATTCATCTCTTTCCATGGAGCTGATAAATTTCTTCTTGATACGGTCTTGGATATGCATACAACTCTTAAACAGCAAGTTAGTGATGTATCCTCCTGTGCTTTGTCATTCTCAGATGCGAATGGTAACTTAGAAACTTCAGAACTGTTGAAGGAGAAGGTTAGTTTTCTCCTAGCATTTTATTATCCTTGACATTATTGCCTAAAAAATTATTTCGTTGATTTAATTTAACCATCATAATGTGAAGTTTCATTTGAAAGCATAATTATCATGCCAAGAGCAGTTCAGATTTGAAAATTTTGAAGTCAATTATGTAAATATCACATTTTTTATGTTTTGGTTTAGCTAATGTAGACCTAATTGCCCCATCATCAACTTAAATGATAATAAATGGTTTATCATTTGAGGTTCGGAAATAATTCAGGCCAGAAAAAATGTTCAGAAATAAGTGGTTACTTTTGTGAAAGGGGGATGATGTTTATGAATCATTTAAGTTGCTAAATAAATCTTTACCTTAGACAATGAAAAATTGTGTTTTAGAAGTGTGATGTTTAAATGCAATGATAATTCATTTGTAATAATCCTATTCCGTTTGTTTGTGCACACAATCTACTGCATACGTATTTTGCAAAGATTATTATATGGGCTGAGTAAAGTTCCAATTATCTGCACTTTCTTTAGAGAGTTTTGATAGCAGCTTTTATAGCTGCAGGGCAAATTTTATCTAAGCTACTCAAGAAGATCCTGTTGTCGTATGTATGAGGTGCTGCAATAGGGAGTACGTTTGGCATCACATCGTTTCTAATAGATAAATCTTATTCAGGGAAATGCAGCATTTAAGGGAAGGCAGTGGAATAAGGCAGTTAATTACTATACTGAGGCTATCAAGCTGAATGGGATGAATGCAACTTACTATTCCAATCGAGCAGCTGCTTACTTAAAGTTGGGATGGTATGGAGTTTTGACCATTTGTCAATTTGCACTTCCATCTTCTATGTTCTCTTTTCTCTTTGTGATATGTGCTTCCATTGGTTGATCTGCAGCTTTCAGGAAGCAGAAGAAGACTGCAATAAAGCTACATTACATGATAAGAAGGTAAGATGGTCAGGTGGCAGTGACCACTTTTATGATATTATAATTTTTCAACTCTAATACACGTCAGTTGCATGATAGAATCTCCATAATATAATGATGAGTGTTGCAATATTTTAAAGTTCTATAGCCAGCTTTGCCCCAGGGGAAAAAAAAGTTCTATTGCCAAAAGGGGAATAAAGAAAAAAAAAATCATGATATGGTCACACCATGATTTGTGAAGGGGTATCTTTCTTAAGCTGTAGGAGATGAATTGATTGTTCGTATCACTGACTACCAGCCAAATCTGCCATCTGCAACTATTTACTTTATATTTCAATTTTGTTAAGAATAGCGTATTGTTATTTCCGTGCAGAATGTGAAGGCATATCTGAGACGTGGAACTGCTAGAGAATCACAACTACGTTATAAAGAGGCTCTAGAAGGTGTGTCCTGATCTCTAAAGAATCACCTGAAATTTCATTAAAAAACTGGTTGGGAAATGCGCCGAGAGTTCTTTACAATGGTCATTACCAGTCAATTTCCTATATTTTAGATTTAGATGTTGTCCGACACTGCCTAAACTTCTGCATTTCAATTTTTATCTTCCTGATTCTTGGAGCTGTAGGTTCTTCTATTACTGTAGCATGAAACTAAATTGCGCATGAGCATATGATATTAACCATGAGTAGTTTGGCACACTACACGTGAATTCTCGAATTTACAAAAAGGTGTTTGTTACTTCTGGTCCTATTTATGAAACAATTTTAATCAAATAACATAGATTAAGAAAAGTGATTACAATTAATTGATAATCTTGATTTTTCAAAAAATGTCACAACATTTTTCATAATTATCCTTAGTCAAAGTCAATAGGTGGTGTGGACTCCCCCCTCCCAGCCCCAAAGTCAAATATCCTACTTCAAATGAAGGACATATCCAGAAAAAGAAATTCATAAATGTTTCATACATTTTATAGTGGCTTATATTAAGGACTATGAAATGCTTTGAGAGACTGTCTTATGATCAAGACTAGGGTCACGTTTGGTTATTATAAATGAATAAAATGGAATGGATTGAAAAAAAACAACACAAAAATGAACTAAATTGCCTTTGCTCCTCATGATAAGCATGATAAAACTCATTAATATATATTCCAAATGTGGAAATCATTGCATCTTCCAAAAAATTCATGAATCATGATTTATAACCCTGTGAATTAAATTACCCCTCTTCTTTATGAGTGTGGTTCATTGTCTCTTTTGATCGTCTCATTTTTTTTCTTTACTTTTTCAATCCATTACATTCCATTCCTTTTTAGTAACCAAATGTAACTTAAGAGTATAACATCAAAATGCAGATACTGGGACATCTTATTAAACAATTTGTTTCTACTTGCTGTGATCCTTTTAGGTCTTACTTTCATAAGTAGAACACCGACAGATATCTTGGTGTAGACATAAAGAAGAAAATTTTGTCTTGACCACACTGGCTTTTAAGTTCTACTCTAATATCACCTTGCACTAACGTGAATTTTTTTTTTTTTTTTGGGGTGGGGGGATGTTTAGCCAATGATTAATGTGAGATGTATTCACTGTTGTATGGCTTTTGTCCACTGGTAGCTTCGTCTGTCAAACTCTTGGTACTCTCTCTCACCACTAGCAGAGGGTATATATTTATGTGTGTTGGTGTACCTACATACCTCCATGTGCATGGGACCCCATCTAGCTTTAGGTAGACCCTGTTCTATTATAGCACTCCTCTGTTTGGGTACCTCTATAGTTTGTGTCCATTTTTACCCTTTGGATAAAAAGGCAAAAATACTCGAGAAGTTGCTAGCTAGGAGTATTCAATAGCCTAAAGTGAAGAAAAGTACATGAATGACCATGAAGTTATTTTAATTGGTGTATCTATGGCCAAATTGTTAAATTTCAAAGACGTTGACCGTAATGCTGTGGATTTGAAATTTAACAGTTTGGTCATAAATGCATTGACTAAAATAACTTAATGGGTACTTGTGCACTTTTCCTCACTTCAGGCTATTGAATGCTCCTAGCCAAAGATTTCTTGGGTATTTTTACTCCTTTGCCCTAACTCTTTTGTCCTATTAAATGTTGTAAAGGTTATTAAACGATGGATTATTTTATTTTTAAAGTATGTATATTTAATATGAGTAAAGTTGAAAACTTGTTAAATTTTTAAATAGAATTGATAAGATTTAATGTTCTCTTTGATTCTAATAAAACATGTTAGAAGTGAGTGAGTGATTTATAAATAGAATTGGAGGGAATAAATACATAGGATAAATCAATACACAAATAGACAAGGATATCATAAGTAAGGGCTTGTTTGATAACCTATTAAAGGGTTTTAGAGGGGGAAAAAAACCAAATATTGCTCTGGAGAATAGAAAAACAGAAATACCTTTTGGGTCTTTTGGAGTTATTGTTTTAGAGAACAAAAGAGAATATGAAAAATATTTATTTATTTTTTTTTTGTTCTTGGACCATGTTCTACAAAATACAAGTTCTCAAAACAATTGAAAAGGCAGTTTCAAACAAGCTCTAAATCTGTATAAAATGTGAGTTTAACGTAGTTGTAGATTTTTCATGATTACTTTGATATATCAATCTTTTATATATGGGATCTATGAATTTTTTTTCCTTACTTTTAATAGTATATGCTACAAACATTTGTCTGCTTAGGTGGGTTTGTGAAAAGTATTTTGAAATTTCAAGGGCAAAAATTAAAACTGTATTTGTACTTCATATCTCATATCTTGAAAACTTTTCTTTTTACCTTTGTCAATTTCTCATGCTACGCAGATTTCAAGCATGCGCTGGTTCTTGAACCTCAGAACAAGACCGCTAGTGATGCTGAGAAAAGAATCAGAAAATTGATGACTTGAATTTATTTCTTCACTGTCTATCTTCGGAATGGACTTGAAGAGAAAGGAGATGACGTGCCTATATTCACGAGGTGCTGCAAATTTTGGTCCTTTTATGTGTATATTTTATTCTTTGGTGATATAATATTTTGTATATTTGCCACTTTTGATATAATTTTACTTGATGCCCTTGTGGAAATGAATTGCCTTGTACAATAATTTTAACCCAAAATTCGTTGACTACAAGAATTTTGTGGCCAACAGCCTAAGGTTAGAAAGTGAGAGCTATATGTAGCAACATTGGGAAGCAAAATAGCTTGTCAATCCCCTCCACACAGAGAGAGAGAGAGGGAGAGACTAGTGGACAAAACGGAATAGTTACTGTTTATATTTCCCCTCTTACTATGAGCCATTTCTTTTGCAGCTAAAAAATTTGTGAATGATGTATAATGTATTTTTGGAGAATGATATTTAAGGATCTTCTAAGAATATAAATTATAATTAAGGATATTAAAATTTTAAAATTTTAAAAAAGGACCGTAGTTTTTGACTGAAATTTTTGAGTTAATTTTTTGGAAAGATGTAATTTTTAGTCTCTAGTTTTATAAGGTTTTGTTTAGTCATTGAAATTATTTTTAGTGTTTTCAAGTTTTATAAGGATTAAAAATATTAAAAAATTAAAATTATAGGAATTTAAAAGACAAACATTATTTAATCTTTTTGAAAGTTACAGGAATTGAAAACATTGATGAAAAAAATATAAAGATTAAAAGTAAAATTTAATAAAATTATAGAGATTAATAATTATATTTTTTTTAACTTTTTTAATACTCATCTTCTAATGTTTTAGCATTTATTTTTTGAAAAAAATAATTATTAATTCTTATAATTTTATTGAATGTTGTTTTTTTGTAATTTTTTTAATTTTTATAAGGATTGAAATCATTGAAAATACTGAAATTATGAGATTTTGAGTAACAAATTTCATCTAATTTTCTTAAAATATGGGGATTACAAATATTAAAAAATTATATGAATTAAAAACAAAATTTAATAAAATTATTGGGATTGATAAATGTATTTTCCTTTTTTTTTAACATTTCAATACTTATCTTTTGTATTTTCAGTATTTAGTTTTTCAATTTTTAGTAATTATTTTAGATATTTTTAATATTCATCTTTCATATTTTCAATATTAAAAAACGTTCATTTTAATTTTTTTAATTTAAATATTATTATTTTTAATATTTAAATTTAGAAGATGGGTATTCAAAAAAATCTAAGGTGATTATTGAAAAGAAAAAGTAAGTATTGAATTGATTATTAAAAATATGGAAGATGGGTAATGAAAATATAAAATGAGTATTGTAAAAATCAAATCAGAAAAAAATTAATTCCAACTAAGGATTATGATTTTTTTTCCCTTGAAATTTCATAATTTTAAGGTCACCAATTATAGTTAATATGCTTAAAAGAAGGTCCTTGTATGCCATTTTCCCTTTATTTTTAAAGAAAAACGAAAATGTTGCTGCTAATCCTAACTGGATGTAACTTTCTTCTCAATGTGTTTACTCATGCAACTAAATGCTTTTTTTTTTTTTTTTAGTAACCTAGTAGTCTAATAACATCAATAGACACGAAAGTTTAAACTAAACATAAACTTTCTTAAAAATAAATAAACCTCTAAACTATTAGCTTTATTTATTTGCCACGATAACTTCCGAGGCTGCCAATATATCACCTATTTCTCAGGATGAAAGAAATATTCTCTTCATTTAAAAATGTAAAGCATTTTTTAAGAAGTTATATATTAAAAAATGTATGGTATTTCTAAGTATAATCATTACCTCTTTTAAAAAAAAGTGACCCTATTAATAATAACTTTATATTTATTGTAGGGTGTTTAATAAGGATAAATATGAAAAGATAAGAATAGTTAAAAAATAGGTAACTACTTTATTAAGAGGTGAGATTTGACTAAAAATGCTTTTTAAGGAGTACAATCTTAATATACTTGATTCCAAAAATCATTCTGGGAAATTTAATAAGATTATTATATGTAGAAATTGATTTTCAGTTAACAATAGTGAATTCTGTAAATTTTTTAAGAGAAAAAAATATTTTATATTTTATAAAAAAATATAAAATGAATATATATATATATATAATATTCAAACATCTCAATTTTGGAGGTTTGGATTTGTTTCTGTGATGCTTTTATTTTAGGTAATTAACTGTATTTCTCTTCATTTCTGGCGCCCTTGAAAACTCTCACGAATAACTTACTCACGCAACCAAACAAACAGAAAACCCGTTGCATGTATCAGTTTCCTGAATTGGCAATTCGCAATCCTTGCATGTCAATGCCTCCTTCAGCTTCAGCTTCTCTCGACACGTCCTGTTCCTCTTTCCTATGCCATAAATAAATCAATATATACGCTTCGCTCAACTCTTCGCCAGGAACAAGACAAGAAAGCAACAGAAAGTCCCCACCGATTCAAATTTCAGTAGAAGAGAAGAGAAAGGAAAAAACCCATTTGATTTTCGCAGTATTGATATTGAAATTTGAAGACCCATCATGTTTCCCAAAGCATTTAAATGCTTCAGCTTCACCGTGTATAGAGATTGGCTTTACCGTTATTCATTCACAAACGCCGGCCTCCGATCCGTTATTACCGACCTCGGTGATGGAACCACTATGCATTGCTGGGTTCCCAAATCCCTAAAACCGAACAAACCCTCGCTTATTCTCATCCATGGATTTGGGGCAAATGCAATGTGGCAATACGGCGAATACCTTCGGCACTTTGTCCCGCGCTTCAACGTGTTTGTGCCGGACCTCCTCTTCTTCGGCGAGTCATTCACGTCGCGACCCGAGCGGACGGAGTCGTTTCAGGCTCTGTGCGTGAAGAAGCTGATGGAAGCGCATGGGGTCTGGAGGATGAACGTGGTGGGAATTAGTTATGGTGGCTTTGTGGGGTACAGTGTGGCGGCGCAGTTCCCGGAGGCGGTGGATAAATTGGTGTTGTGTTGCTCTGGGGTTTGCTTGGAAGAACAGGACATGAAAAATGGATTGTTTAAGGTTTCGGATTTGGATGAGGCTACGAGCATTTTGGTGCCACAGACGCCTGAAAAGCTCAGGGAACTGATGCGGTTTTCGTTTGTGAGGCCTGCCAGAGGCGTGCCTTCTTGGTTCCTTACAGATTTCATTGATGTAAGTTTCTGATTTTTCTGTTTTGAAATTTGAATCTGTTTCTGTGTGGATGTTTCAAATTCAATGGAAGCATGGAGAAAGGAGATTTCTAATTAGCGTACTTTAGATATTTTTGGTGTTTCATGATGACTACCCTCCTACATCTGGATTTGGGGTGTTTGCTGCCTCTCTAATGTTCAAAATCCCAGCCTTTCATACAAAGGAATTAGATGAAATTTCTCTGATTTATTAGCTGAGATGAAATACTAAGATTTTGGGCATATTCAAAATCTCAGCCTTCCATTCGAAGGAATTAGATAAAATTTCTCTGACTACTAGCTGAGATGAAATGCTAAGATTTTGGGCATTAGACGGGTCTCCTCCCCCAAAGGTATGCTTTTGGTTTCTGCTTTTTGAATGCTCTAAAGAATTGTCTCCTAAGAAACAAGTTGATATGTGGGGATATATAATCTCTACTATTAATTACTCCTTTCGGTCCTATTTGTAAGACATTTTTTAAAAATAATTTTTAATCCAAAATGTAGAACACTTTGTAATATTTAAACAACTTTTTTCAATTTTATTCTTTTTTGATTAACATGAAGGTATTTGATATAGTAATATTATTATTTAAAACCAAAGATATAAATGAAAGTATATATCATTTTTTTTATATCAAGAAAAAAATTAACTTTCCTTAATATGTGTGAGATGATTATAAATGTCTTACAATAAGAATTGGAGAGAGTAATTCTTTGATAATAATATTAAGTAATGTTTATAATAAAATCTGTAGTAAATGTGTTTATCCCAAAAAAAAAAAAAATCTGTAGTAAATGTCATGAACATTTTTCAAATTCTGTAAGGCGTTGGTAAATGTTTTAGTTTAAGTTGATAAGAAGTTATGATATCCTCATTTATCAAACTTACAAGCCAGGGTATGTATTCTTTTGATATATGACATTAATGCTGCACTGTTTGGATTATCGCCTGCGTTTCATTTATGCGTGAATTAGAATATCTTCATTAATTTGGAGAGTCAGATATAATTAAAATTATTGAAGGCTATTGCAAATGAATTGAAGAGAATTATCATAGAGAAGTGTATGATTGAAACAAGCAATTTGCATCCAATTGCTCAGAAGTTGACGTCATTCGGCAATGCTTGAGAATTCTGTGCTTGAACATTCATTCAGAAAAACAAGCCAAAGATTAACCGATACAAGGCAGTTTTCTGTAATGCGACATTAATAAAATCAATCTCTTTATCTTCCCAGATTATTAACCATGTTCTCGTTGATTAATTTGAACAGGTTATGTGTATGGAACATGTTGAAGAGAAGAAAGAACTCCTTGCAGCAATACTTAAAGGTCGACAACTTTCCAACCTTCCCAAGATCACCCAGGTACATATTCCAGACTGTTTACAGGACAGCAATGTCAATTACTTGAAGGCATATGAAAGTATCTTAGCTGCAGATTCTTCAAATATGAAAGTGGAGGCACACAACCAATTCTTTCTACAAACTTTGTTCGTAATTCTATTTTATGTTTGCTGTCAAGATCTTTGGCGACACCTAACATCCTTGAACATTTATAACGACATACTGTCACATTATTGAATCTCCTTTGGAAAGTTCTTGCATTTCCTAATTTTATTTAAGATTTAGATATAGTATGTCAGTGCTATTTATTTCTTTTCTTTTTGGCTTTTAACATCTAATTTAGCTACCGTTTCTACTCTGTTTAATTTGTCATTTGTTTCCTATGGTACAATATTGGCACAGAGATTCAGAATCAGGAACTTCTGCAAACTAAACAGTCTTAGCACTAGTCATACCTGGTGGATTATTTGTCATAAGCTTTTCCCCCTCATTTTTGTTGTTGTTGCTTCAAGAATACAAACTATAAAGAAACAAGCATACTGTAATTATTAGAAACTTAGACTCAAATGCATATCTTACGGGTTACAACTTACTACAAAGCAAAACAACTGCTTTCTTCTCTTGATGCATTGACTCCTAGTTTTCTCTCTCAAAATAAGCCAGTGAATCAGAAAACTAGTTGATCATACATACAGTGTTATTATCATACTTGCCTTCTAGTAGTTGTTTCTTTGAATTTTAAAATATTGTGGTGATTCTATTGGAACAGACGACATTAATTTTATGGGGAGAACAAGATCAGGTGTTCCCTCTGGAATTAGCCCTCAGATTGAAGAGGTGAGGTTTCATTACTTATATAATTTGCATTCGTCTGATCTGACATCGTTTGAAAAAATTCATTGAAATGTGAATGTTTTGGGAACAGTCATATTGGAGAAACTGCTCAAATGGCAGTTATTAAGAATGCAGGGCATGCTTTGAATATAGAGAGGCCTAAAGAATTTGCCAAGCATCTAAAATCATTCCTTATTGGACCATGTAATCACTCACCTTCTTTCAAGGAGCAGATTCAGAAGACAATCTTTGATTTCCACAAGTCATGATTGAACTTCTCTTCCCCAAAATACAAAAGCATCCACAAGCTAGAACCAACTTTGCTAACAGTGCTTTCATCTTCAAAAGTGAGAGAAAGTCTTGGGAATCTGAGATTCATGTGCCAAATTATTATCCAGACACTATATGATACTTGAGAATTTTTCCAAAAATGAATATAGGAAAGATCAATTGCTTTATCTCTATGGGATTGTAAGTGGATCAATCAGTAGGACATGCAAACAAGTCTGAACGTGTGGAGGAACCTGTCTCTTTTTCAAGAAATTCCGGAAATGCATGTACAATGACGAATGGAATATCAGTTAAATCATTAATGTACATATTATGTATAATAATGCTGTTGTCTGTAATTTGTTTTTATACTTGTTCTGATTGTAACTTATGAAATAAGAAAAATCCAAAAACTGTTGTACAACTTGAACTCGCAAGCTTTCTTCGGAGTTGCCTACTATCTGATTTTCATCATGGTTTCTCATTTAAGCCAATTCAGGTTCAAATTGCCCATATTGTGCTTATTAAGCACACGTTGATACACACACACACACACATATAAATATCGTATATGTGAATGACAAGAGAAAAATAAGAATATAATGATAATATATAAGAATATATACAACTTAGAGAAAAATTAATCATTTGATCGTTATAGTTTTAAATAGGATGCGACTTAATCCTTGTTTTTATTTAATTCTTATAGTTTTTGTAATGTAAAATATTAATTCATAGATTTTAAAATAACTTTAGTCTTTATAATTTTATTTTCTATATGTAGATTAACATTTTAAATAGTTAAAATCATATATAAGGATTGAGTTGTATTGAATCAAAGTTTAATAATTAATAAGTTATAACAAGTCAATTGAGCTAGTTACAACCAAATCAAAATTAGATGGACCAGATGAACAATATTTTCTATAATTTATTTCACAGAAGCACAGAGTGCTTTGGTTACCTATATAAAACCTAGACTTAGCACATTTTTCTTTTCTGTGACCATAAGTCCATGACTATTATAAGGCGCATATTTTGTTCTCTTTCTTCCTCTGATTTCAGTACACTTATATTTGCTCCGTTATTATATATTTTGGAATGTTTCATATCACAACAGGCCTTGAATGAATGTCAAATTTCTCAGAAGATGAAAGCTGCGGCTCCTGCAAAATATATTATAAAGACTCATTCATTAGCATCAACTTCTTATATGGAACAATGAATAATCTCATAAAACTGAATAGAATCATAAAGCAGGTCAACAAATTTTAGATATACAAAATTTGAGGATTGTTACGTACATGGACATAATGCAGAGGATTGTTAACGTGGAAACGTTGCTGGTAAGCATCCAAGCCAATGAGCTTCTTGGCTTCAAGAACCATTGATCTCATTGAATGCAGCAAGTTGCCATAGCTCATTCCTCCGGGTTTGTTCTTCATGGCTTGGATGAAACTGTGAGTCAATGCTCCTCCATTCATTCCAAATGCCTTTCATCATCATCATCATCATCATCAACGTGCGCATGCATGCATGCAAAATACATCAATTCGTTATTCATGAATATGTAATCGGTCTCTCACTGTTAATTTTGCAAAGTTGGAGTCGTCCGATGTAATTTTCCCATTTGTTATCAATTTGCTTATACATTTCCGCATCTTAATTAAGATTCTCACTGTATTTGTTTAGTTTATATACAAGCTACAGAAAATTGAATTGTTTGTTCGACCAATCTAAATAATGATCCAAAGGTCAGTGATCCAACTCTAATTAAACTGAGATCAATCCAATCATAATTAAAATAATATAATTTAATTAAAATATATAAAATATTTATATATAACCTTGAAAAAAATGAAATATCCATGTCATGTATAAATCATGTATGATCTAACAAAACAGAGTTATTAACGCACAAATATGACATGTACTGTTATCATTTTTAACTCAAAATGATATCATTTCAGGCTCAATAAGGGGATAAAAATAAAATCCAACATAGTCAACCCATTCAAAACTCTTAACTAGACCGGTGAACTTCACCAATTCATTAATCTAACCGGGCAATTTAGGTTTTAATACCAAGGTTTATACGGAATCGATTTACCCATGCAGTATAAAACAAACAAATTGGGGGACATGTATTAATGAAGAAATGAAACTAACCGAAGTGTCTCCTGAGGTTCCATCGTCATCACAAGCCGATATGCATACAGCGACCCCTCCATTTGTCCCTTTATAATGTGGTTTCCCTATCATTTGATCATCCCACTTGTATTCACGAAACCTGTTTAAACCCACCATTAGTCTCTCTCTCTCTCTCTCTCTCTATATATATATATATAAATGAAATCCAAAGGAAACATGAGTGAACCTGTTCATCCTGCACATGAATGGCAAGTCAAGAACAGTACCGCTACTGCAAGTATCGATGATGGCATGGAGTTTGGTTCCACGAGGAAGAGGCTTGACAAGAACATCGTTAATGGTGTCGTCTCGTATTTTGCCAGCGTCCTCGTAATCCACAGGGCACAGTGCTTCATCGTACCCATCTACCTCGTCCATGTCGTTGTCCTCAATCCTGGATCCGTGCCCTGAGTAGTGAAACACCAGCGAGTCCCCTGCCTTGCATCCTCTCACAAGCGTCTTCATCGCTTCTATCATGTTCGCTTTTGTTGGCACTGTTTTCCAGTCATTATACTGATCGTCTGCACATGTATATGCATGCATGGCTTCCTTAAACCTCAGAATGAAATTATTAATGCGTCAACCATATACATACTAAACGCTATAACCTAGTTAACCTGTTGCATGCAAATGCATTTTTGTCTCCTCTCCTTAACGTTTCGCGTTCTTAATTATCTTAGTTCCGAAAGCTTCATGAATATATAATCCCTCCATCCTTAATCATATAAATTAATAAAAATTAGTTATCTAATTAAAAGTATAAAAATATTTCAATTTTATCCCTAATTATTACAAATAAAAAATAAAATTTTTTTAAATAAATTAATAAGACTACTTGTCTTTTTTTTTTCTTTTCAATTTAATAAGGGTATAATAGTTTATTCATAAAAAATATGTAAATAATATCTTATATTTAAAAATAAAAAAATTTTAAAAAATTTCTTATATAAAAAAGTGGATGGAGTATGTTTGTGTGTGGGGGCGTGCAGTTTTCATGTCCGACATAATGATTGTGTTCGTATATTTGAAATATAAGGGACACGATAACGGTGAGAAAGAAAAGAAATTATGAGCATGTGAGGCTTATTAATTGCATTACATGTGGTTGCTTCGTTATTAATTACCCTTCCCATAAAGATAAGTATGTTGAGTACCTCGGAGGACGACAATGGAATGAGGATGAAATCCGAGGTAGTCTATGAGGAAGGCTTTCATGCGAAGCACATCATTCACTGAACCCTTCAGCGCATGACGTCCCTTCCCGTAAGTGATTCCGCACAGCAGCGCCCTCTTGTTCCCGCTGCCGCTGCCATATAACGGCAACGGAGGTGGCGCTTGTGGATGTGGCCTCATCACCGGCCTTGGCGGCTGTCGGTAATACCCGCCACCGTTTGGAGCCCCGTAACCGACCCGACCATTGTACGGACCCGGAGCTCTGGCTCGATACCCGTTTCCCGCCAAGTTGTTAGCTTCGCAATAATGTGGTGGCACTCCCAGAGGCATTCCACAGTCGCAGAATCTCTCTCTTCTCACTTCCATTCTTGGAAGACTGAGAAAGAAAATGGATCAGAACGCAAAATTAGGAACAGATCTAGGTTGAAGAAACTGTGTGTGTGTGTGTGTCTCTCTCTCTCTCTCTCTCTCTATAATAATGGTGGCTCTGATTAGCTTGACAGTGTCTTGAGGTCGGGGGTCGAGTTTTGCGTCTTGTATTTATAAGCTGCATGATTTAGCAAGGATCAGATCCTCTGTATTATTTTAATTTGAAGTGGACAGAGAGAATACGTCAGGTTATTGGATTTCCATTTAGTTTATTATTTATTATTGTCATTTGATTGGCGAATTGGATTCGATATATATATATATAGCAGAGAAAATTGACCACTAGATGTGTCAATAATTTAATGTGCATATATTTGCCTTTTGGAGATTCAGAAGGAAATGATCGATGGGTGGAGACGAGACCTGTGTGTGTTCTTGTTCTGTGATTCTTTCATGATATCTTATAAAATTGATGTGTTTGTTCTTGTCTATCCAGGGGAACGTGGCCGTGAAAACCCTGTGCGTGCTAAGCTTTTAATCTCATAAAACTAAATAACTGACGATGAAGTTATCAGAAAGATTAGGTGCATGTTTGGTTTCATGTTTGATTAAACTATCACATCCATATAGTTTTTGAGAATAGTTACTTGCTTCCGCCAATTAAAACCATAATTAAACCATCACGTTACATTATAATGCTTTTGGGTTGATAGGAATTGGGACTGTGGAAAAGATTGTAGAAATTATCTGAGAGTGTGTAGAGTTTATGTTGGGAGATTATGTGTAGACCTTATGTGTGTGGTGGCTTTTCCATAAATACAAAATAATAGTTTTTTCATGATTTCATACTCCACTCTTTTAAAGCCCCTAGCTGTAGATTCTTTACTTTTGTCTTCTTGTTGAAATGATGCGTGTTTAATCAAGTCTTTCCATAACTTTTTTCCTTTCAGAAGACCTTGGTGAGCTTAGACTAAAGGCTTTTAGCCTAAATAATTGGGGTCAAATTAATATTTTAGCAATGTTTTGAAACCCGAACTGAACATCAAACCAGAAAGAGTAACGACTCACAATTTTCACAATCTAATCGGTTAGACCGGCGGTCGAACCGATGACATAAAAATTAAATAAAAATAAAATTTATATGTACAATTATATAAATAAAACATTAATTTGTTAATGGTGTTTGGGACCTCAACTCCAAAAGCTAGATACTTGAATCATTGGAGCTAGAAATAGAGATATGTCAGTACAAGCTTGTGATTTCAAAGGAAAATATTGGAGCTGGAGGCATACTATCATGTCATGACTCACAAGCTTTCGATCTCAATGCTAAAGGTTAGATCTTTAGAGCTGGAGGCAGATGTTAGAGGAGAAGTTAGAGATTGAGTTTGAGCCATGAAGGAGAGATTAGAGATTAGAGAAGAAAAGAAAAGAGAAAATTAGTGATTAAAGAAGAGTAATTGTGAATCTAAGCAACTTAGTCTAACTTTTTTTTAATTTTTTTGGCTTTAAACTGAGTTGACCCAGGTTCGGTTCTCGGGTCAAAGCCGGTTCTCTCAAAACCGACCGATTCAACCTGGGTCAAATGCCAGATTGGTTCAATTGGTTGAACCGGACTATTTTCTTTAGCAGGTGGCGGTTGGACCGGTCAGACTGTCCGGTCCAGTTCGGTTTTAACAATATTGTATTTTAGTACCAATAATAAATTAGTGTTATGTTTTTTTTTTTTATTGCTCTCAAGTATCTCATATTGAAAGCAATCTTTGTTTGGGACTCAATTAAGAATTAAATATAAATACCTCTCTTAATAAAGATTTTGAATACTAACTTATCAAATTATGAAGGATTAATCACTTCGACATAATTCAATCCCCGTTAGTCAATTTTACTCATTCTTGACACTAAATGCAATATTCCCAAGGCCTACATTCGTTAATTACATAAAATTTCAAAACATAAATTAAAAGTTATAGATCAGTACTTATTTAATTAATAGCACCCCAACAATCTCTGAAACGCAATCAAAAAAAAAAAAAAGATGAGCCACAGTCCACACGGACAGAAATCAATATATAAGATCGACGATTTTTGTACCCAAGGGATAAGCCTTATTGTTGTTGTATCCTTCTTGATTTGGTTATTCGATTCAAAATCATTGTTCATTCGCATTTGCCATCTTGCAACTTTGTTTCTTTTTCCGTTTTTGTTTATACTTTTTCTATCAATTTTTATTTTTTTTATAAGTAAAGAAAAAATTAGATAAGTTGAGGTTTAATTAAGAAACGACTGGGACTCCAATAAGCTTCATTATGTTAAGAATACCAACAGACTCATGACTTATTCACTATTCACTAATAAGATCATGACATTAATAACAGGATTTGAAAACACATCCTTCTGAGATTTGAGTTGCGTCATTATTAATTATATCGATCTTAAAGATCATTTTATTCGTTTACATTATTAATATATAACTCTCAAGATGCTACTAAATAACGCAAAGTATTGTTATACTTTGAATACTGTTTTCACAGGGCAGGGACGCACCTAGCTACTAGCTACTTGATATAGCTAATGGGAACAAGTGCCCCTACAAAGATGTCAAAGAAAGGAAAAAAACTGTATAAAATGACCCAAAATATTTTCTTTTTGCTTCCCAGAAAAAATTCCAACCAGCCCCTATTAAAAGAAAAATTCATTTACGTACTTTAAAAGTTTCACTTATCCCCTAAAAATTTATTTAACCCAAATGTAATCTATATGTTATAATTTCAAATAATTATAGTTCGAGAAGGGAAGGAATAATAATTTTAAAATTAATTTTATTTTTTAAAAGAAAAAATTTTCTCTGCGACACAAAAGTGGTTAAATTTTATTTTTATCAGACAGTGTTATTTAATACATCACTACAATTTTATGTTTTACAACTATTTACCTACAATTTAACAACTATTTACAACTATTAGTAATTATTTAAAAACGATTTACTTACAATTTAATTTAACAAATATTTAAAATTACATTTTTAAAAATAATTAATATTTTTCTTGAGTAAAAAATTTTCTCTCACTATCTAGTTTTTCTGGGTTCATCAGTACCACAAAATACTAGTATTTTGCTAACAAATAAAAACGAAAACAAAAAGGAGAGAAGAACAGGAAGGGAATTAATCACGTTTCCATATTAACCAAAAAAGTCTATTACAATGAGTCCCTAATCCCATCTATTTATAGTAATTAATTAGTTGCCAATGATCATATCTCCTAATAACCCCGGCTAATTAATCCCTAACTTTTTTTTATCAATAATTAACCGACTAACTAACTTATTATTTTTTATAACATATCAGACATTGAGCTCATAATTGCTTGATTAACAAGTCAATGATCCGAGGAAACAATAGTGTCATAACACAAAGCGCTGTGCATGAATGTCAAACTTCTCCGAAGAGGATAGTTGTGCATCCTGCAAAACCCAATTCAGAAACCTTCTGTCAGCATCAATTCAACAGATTGTGGTACATCATCCAATACTTTAACGTGTTATGTATTCATATACCTGTCTGATGCGATCCATGCCAAGCATTTTATTGAGCAGTGAAATGATTGGACCATTCAGGGCAACTATACCAACTTTAGCTCCTTTGATTGCAGCACGAATGGCACTTAGCAATCGACCATAGCTTAATCCTGGTTCATTTTCCACCGCTTGTATCAAACTATAAGTCAAAGCACCAGTAACAACCTTACTTCCGCCAAAGGCCTGACAAAATCAAGCAACCCCACAATGTAAGTGCATGTTTGGGAAAACGCCCCAACTATGGTTTGGGGGGTCCAAGCCTCAATTGGGCTGTCAAAAGCCCGTTAGAAAGTTAAAAGTTTTGTTTGAGAAAAAAAATTTGAAAGGAGCTTTGAGGAGGAAAAGTTAGTTCAACTTGAAGCAAGGAGCATGTATTTTTGCTAAAACGTGTTGGTAAATGAGTTAGGTTGGCATTTAATGTTTTTTAAATTTTGTTCAGATAGTCTCTGTCAAACTAAGTTTGAAGAAAAATATATCTAAATACAAATCGTATTACAATCAAAGACTTTTATCCTAACTTCAATATCTTTTTTTTTTTGGTCAAAAGTTAGTTTGTCAAAAGTTTATTTAATCAAAGTTAATTTAATAAAAATTAATTATTATAATAAAATTTATGTTTAGATATATCTTTTTAAAAGTCAGTTTTCTCTTACCCCAACTCCCGCTTTCAATTTTACTTTTAGTTTCAAAAGCTTCAAACTTCTCCATCCCCAAATCTATTTTCAAACCTTAGTTGAATATGCTTTCACAAAGTCCTTTTCAGTAAAACTCTACACCCAAATAACATTGGGCTTCTTGAAAGTGAAAAGTATCTTTCTAAAAGTGAGGTGTAAGGTTACCAAACAGGTTATATTAACTTCAATTTTATAACTTTTAATCCAAACACAACCTAAGCCCATGAATCTCCCAAACAGTTTTCATCAATTCACATGAAAATCCATCGACTAAGAAATGAATTATACTGACTGATGTATCTACTGAGGATCCTGCATCTTCACAAGCTGATATGCAAATTGCAAGCCCTCCTCTTGTACCTTTATAATCAGCTCTGGGCTGTGTCTGATCCTCCCATGTATGAAACCCTTCCCTTGTAATGTGTATTGACATATCAGTTTTTCATAAGGACAGCGCAAGAGGTTTCAGAAAACAAGACTTTCTAAAACTGACCTGCTCATTTTGCAGACAAAAGGTAGATCAAGAATGGTCCCACTGTGGCATGCATCAATAATGGCATGAAGTTTTGCACCATGAGGCAATGGCCTGACAATTCTTGCATTGATCTCATCATCAAGAATCATCCCATTGATCTCATAATCAACTGGTAATAGTGCTTCATCGTAGCCATCGATCTCATCCATGTTATTGTCCACTTCTTGTGTGCCATGTCCTGAGAAGTGAAACACCAATGAATCCCCTGGCCTGCAACCCTCAACCAGCCAACGCATGGCCGTTTGAATGTTCTTTTTGGTTGGGATTTTCAGTGGGTTTTTCTCCTCCTTATCATCTGCAGTTTTTTAAGTGTTCAAAATTAACATAGAATGAAACAAACTGATATCTTAAATGGTACCTTATTGCTTTTTTTTTTTTTCTTTCTTATCATTTCTAAACAGGTTTTCTCCCACAATTTTTCACTTGGCTAACCATAGATATGACCATGTACATGCATATTTGCTTCATACTTTCAAAAGAAGCACTGTCATAGTACTATGTCATCATAAAAGTATACTGTTCAAATAAAACCTTGTCTTAATTGTAGGATACTTTCAACTATTTCATGTATTTTAAGAAAATTCAGTTTTCTTTTTAATATCGTCAAAAAAATGAGATATACTTTTATTTTTATCTTTGACTTTACATAATAATACAACTAATAACTAGGCTTTAAATAACTTCTCTTGAATAGCCTACCATGAGGTCATTAATCTGTTACTCATAAGTTCCAATAATTGTAGTGGTGTGGATTTGGAAAGCCAATCAGCGACGATTCATGGAGAGAGAGATTCAATGATTCTGACTTTTGACACATGCACAAAGGTTAATTAAAAAAAAGCAGATTTTCAACAATTCGTAACTCATCCCACATTAATCAAGAAAGGGTGAAATTGAGAGAGAAGAAAAGTTTAAATATTACAAGGTATTGGACATTTTGGAGCATAAATTACTTTTAGAAGTTATTCTACAATTAATACCAGGGGGAATATGTCAATGAAGTTTATTTTTTGTGGTTTGGTGAGTTATCACTTATTAGTTTCATTCATATAACTCATAAATAATTTGAAAAAAAAAATGCAAATGTAAAATACATTATCAGCTATAGAATAATTAAATTGATTAAAACAAATTCATAGAACTAATTGAAGAGTATAGTAAACTAGCACCAAGTTAAACCTACTGTGACAGCTAGAAAATTGTTCACTGCACTGGAATTATTACCTGTGAGCATAAGAATGGAGTCGCCAGGAAACCCAAACTGGTTTATAAGAAAATATCTCATGAACTTAACATCATTCATAGAACCCTTAAGCCTGTAACTTCGTCGGTGGTAGCAAATTCCACATAGCAATGCTCTCTTTGAGCCATAAGCAGAAGCAGGCACCAGTGGAGCTTGTGGCCTTAATAGCTGAGGCTGAGGAGGATAATAGCCATAATGAGGTGTGCCATAACCTACATTGCTGTTAAATGAACCAGTAATCATAGTATTTATGAACCCTCTTAACCTGTTTGCAGCATGAGACAGAGAGTTATAGACCAGACTCGGTGTATTGCTGGCTTGACCAATCTGAGTGATGCCATGGCACACTGCACACTTGATGGTATGAGCCTCTGGTGGCACTAGCAGTAGTCTTCTGCAGTGACTGCACCTTTCTTTTCTCTCTGCCATGGTGGTCCGTCCTTCTTTTTTAAAAAGAAATAAAAAGCTTTTTGAAGAGTCGTGAGGCCAATAAAAGAAGGAAAGGTTTTAGAAATGAAAATGTGAAACCATAGGAGACTTAATTTTATCTTATTTGGTGTGGGGGATTGGAGAGCCATGCACAGAATCAGATTCCACTAGCTTTTTTTCAGTGGAGACTGAATCTCTTGACTTTCTTGTTGCTTCCATTTCTCAATGGATATAAAAGTAGACAAAGAATCCAAACCTAAACTGCAAAATAAGCAATCCCTGATTTCTAGCTTTCTGATATGACAATAAATTTAAAAACTTTTGACTCATTATAGATTTATCTAGACAAAAATCCTATTTCAATCCTCTTAAGATTGTGTCATTTTCGATTTGAGATTTTTGGCCTCACTTTAGTTCTCACAGAATATGATCTCATTCCAATATCATCCTTTCAGGTTAATGAAATGATATCAGCACAATCTTTTGAGAACTAGAACACCATCATGCTTTCATCTGCTAAAATGATACTTAAAAAAAAATCAGTGAAATATCAAACTGATGATAACACATTCTTTGAGAAAGGATTTTTGGTGATATTTGTGTTGTAAAGATTGAAACTAGGAACAAGTGCATGATATCTTGATAAAATTGTCAACTTTAACCCGTCTTCTCTGCATTCCGTTTTTCACCTTGAAGTCTAGAATCTAGATCATTTCTCAAATTGAATGCATTGGTCAGGGTAAACGCAGTGTTTTGAGGTTTCATCATTCATGCAAGTCCTTTTACAAAATCACTTGCTTTTGAACTAAATTCCTGATAAGCCATTGATTGTTAGGTTGAGGAAATCAAGGAAAAGATTACCATACTGATTATCTGCTGCTCTCTCTCAAGAATTATTCAAATGCTAATTGTTTGAGCTATTTGCTAGGTCAATGTCCAAAACAGAAAACATCTTGTTTGTGTGATTTTACATTTTAGAGTGACTATTAATTAGTAGCTGCTAGGCACAAGTTCACAATTTACGCAGGACAGTGTCCTAGGTTTAATAGATTCATCACAGTTCACGCTTCACAGAAATTGCGTCCTCATGGGGAGGAATATTGCGAGAAAAATTTAAAATTTATAGAGACCATTCATTGCATGCCAAATTCAACTAAAACAAGTGTTTCTGTTCTTGACTTGTTCTCTCATTGCAAAGGAAGCAGGAACCAGATTCTTGATTCTGGAAACCAAAAGATGCTTTGCTTGATGAAGGATATAACTTATTTACATTTTTAGGATGATTGCTACAGATAAAAACCCAACATAAAAATTTAAAAATATATTTCACAATTTACTTTAAATGATTAGATCTTCAGAAATTTTTTCTTTTAAAAAATGTTTTCTTCTTGTTTAAAATGAATATGATTTTTTTTTATCCAATTATTCAGTTAGGTTTATGACTGAAGCAAGATCACAAAATCATATGTAACATTCATGGCATGGGTGGTACAGATGAACGGGAGGAATATTGGGTCAAGAAGTAAAATGACAGAGATGTCCTGTCAAGTGTTGTGAAATTTTTTTTTTTCCAGTCATTTTCTCCATTTTTCCCTTGTGCTCCTGAAAGAGTTTACTTGAAAGTGTCACAGTAAGTATCTATTTTATGCTTTAACTTCTGGTATTCCCATTCAGGATCTGAAGATCCATTTTCAGAACTCTATGTTTGCAAAACCCTAAGAAACTCTCAAAAAAAAAAAAAAAATGGTCTCAGCGAGTCAAGAGAATGAAGGCAAAGGACGGAAAATTCATTTTCTGGATCAAGAATCAACGGTAACTCTAAGCTGTTTGTCTCATTTTGGAAAAGGTAGCATCAAATTTTTCAGTTTCAAAGTACATAGTATGTTTGAAGGCAGGGAATTTACATGCTGTATGGTTTGGTTAAGAAAGGATAGCTATATTTCGGAATGCATATTCTTGTTCTATATAAAATCATTTATCAAAAATGCCGGAAAAGTAATAATAAAGCTTTGGTTCCCTGTAGCATCCTCCTTTTACATGGAAACTTTTCCCCCAATATTATGTAATGCTTTTAAGCTGAGATCATATACTGATATTCTGACACTGATATAGAAATGAGAATTCCAGATTAATACAAAAAGGATTATGATCTTCTGCAATAATGCACCATACATTTAGGAGAGAGATTAACATCAAATAATGGAAGTGCCCAGTTTCTTCTCTTTACACGCACTCCCTATTCTCTCTCCATCTCCGTTTAAATACAAGTTGTACGGATAAGATTGTTCAGCTCACAATGTGAATGTCGTCTTGAAAACATCAAATTTTTCAGATGATGATAGAATAGGATCCTGAAAATTTCAATAAAAAATCAGTTCATGTTAATGTAAATCAGGACTCAGGACATTCTAATTATGATTTAGAGGGAAAAAGTTTAATAATAAAAAAAAAAAAAGGTTAAAGGATGTTCTTAATATTGTTTAGGAGGTAACGCATTGGTCCTTTCATTACCATTGATGAGCTATATAATCAGATTCTCTGCTTTAGAAATTGAAAAGAGAAACTTCTGACCGAAGAAAAACTTCATAAGTTACCACATTTATTCATCAATCATGCTTCATATTTGAGAGGACGAAGCTCTGCTAATGTGCAGAAAGCTCTCCCTTGCTTGAGAGTTGTACTATTAGTTATCCTATGCAAGGCGGAGATCTCACCATTGGGAATAATCATATCCTTTACACATCATGGGATCTTAAATATTATCTTTGATATTTATCAACCTACCCGGAAGCTTAAGCTAAGGGCCAAACGATGACATTTATATTTACAAAAGAGATGTTTTGCTGGTGAAGTAACCATTACATCCCCTACTAGTGAAGTAGTCAAGGGAATCGCCTGCTAAATAGCATCCTAGGATAAACTCTTCCTATAATACTAGCAATGAATGGGGAAAGGAGCCAACCTGTATAATATAATGCCGGCAAGAACGATGACATATTCTGGGATAACAGCTCTTTTGATTAATCGTTGCAATTCCCTCTTGGATCTTTTTTAGTATCCCTCCATATGTTATAACTGGGTTTTCTTTGATTGCTTTTATAAAAAGATAGGTCATAACACCATGCATTCCCCTTCTAAAAGCCTGCATAAGTAGGTCAAAACTCAGGTAGTGAATTAGCCTCCTCATTGCATGGTGAAGGAAAAATTAGAAAAACAATAAAAAAAAAAAGATTTATACTGTTGTATCAACAGCAATCTGATTATCTTCACAAGCGCTGAAACAAATGGCCAGACCACCGCTTGTATGTTTTCTCATAGGCACTTTTGCGGGGGGTTTGTTATCCTCCCACTCATGGCTGCAAGTAGTTAAGAAGCGTGATAGATTATAACAAATACAAGTTACGAGCCTTGATTTAGTGGCTTAAGCATTTGAATTGAAATGATCTAATATTAGAGCCTTTATAATGAAGTAGTTTAGAGTGAGATCCTTAACAGTGTTTCAAGCCCAAGGTATAACAAGCGTTTGATCTGAAAAAGTTATGGTGTAGAGATTAATCATTTTGAGTTCAAGAAAGGCAAAGAAGGATTCGTTAGGAAACAGAACAAATAGAGAAGATGCCCAAAATTCACTTACTTCTCTAGTTTATAGACATAAGCAAGATCAAGAATTGTGCCACTATGACAAGCATCAACAATAGCATGAAGTTTGACGCCCTTCTCTAGTGGCCAAACAAGGATAGAGTTTAAATCATTGTCAACGATCATGCCTTCTCGCAGAAAATCAACAGGACAAAGAGTTTCATCGAATCCATCAAGCTCATCTTCCTTCAAATCAGGCTGTTGCAGCCCATGTCCTGAGAAGTAAAAGACCAGTGAGTCTCCTGCCCGGCAGCCCTCCACGAGCCACTTTAAGGACTCTAATATGTTCTTCTTCGTTGGAACTAAATGTTGATCTTTCTCATCTTCTGCAATTTGGTTTAGTTAATTTTGGATAGAGATCCATCTGTATGTCAGTATTGACAATATTAAACAATGTAAACACTGGAAAAGCTGAGCATATACTTAAGGGACATACGAGATACCATACTACCTAGAAAATTGCTTCAATGATAATTAGACTTAGATGACTTCAGGGCTTCAAGAAACAAACTGATAAATAAACTCGTCATCTGCAAAATTTTATCAAGGATACCATATTGTGGAATGTCGAAGGTTGAGGATATAGTAAACTATTCATGAGGTTTACATAGTTTTTGGGCAGTAGATCTTGATATTATTTATCAGAGTCTTTTATAACCAAGTGATTGGGAGGTAAGCTCATATTGTCTTGCTCCCAATTAAAATTAAGTCTTAAGGGCACAAAAAAGGTTTCAAGCTATTCATGGACTTTTGCCCAAAAGGCGTGAACTTTTGAGGTGGACTGGTTCTTCACACAAAATACAGTGAGATTTTAACAAATCAAGGGCTCGGAAAAATTAAAGATACTCAATCAGAAAAATTAAATTTGATCATCAGCTAAAAGGTTTCAAGAGATACCCGTGAGAATACGGATGCTCTCTTTTGGAAAATCAAAGAATTTAACCAGCATCTCTCTCATGTTCATAACATCATTAATGGTTCCTTTGAGCTTGTATCTTTTTTTCTTGTAGGTAACTCCGCATAGCAACGCTCGCTTGTTACATCTGCTAGACAAGGCGAAGGGAGATTCTGTTGAAGACGACGATGACTGATGGCTCTGCACATTAGCATTTTTTTGTTAACCCAGAGAAGCAGAACCAAAATAAAATGCTGGAGAAGAACTTTCTGAAGACAATTCAATAATCCCGATACTCTCAATTAAAATACTGTTGTATAAAGAATTCAAGGCATCACCCTGTCAGACTGATTACGTTTGAACAATATAGAATCAAGTTTCAGCTTTTGGCCGGGAATTGGACTGTCTGAGCTCCGTTGCACAGGTCCTGAAATTGTAGTAACAGCTTGGCAGATAGAGCATCGGTATGCACCAGTCTTTATGGGAACTACAAACTCTCCTCCACAGCCTGAGCAGGTAATCTTTGCTTGCGCATTTGGACGTGAAAAAATAACTCTCTGGCAATTATAGCAATGATATACAATAGTGCTTGTGGGAAACAAAATTCCCCTTCTGCAGGTTCCACATTTTAGTTCAGCTTCCATAGTTTTCTGAATAAATTTCTATGAGCGAGTGAAGACTGAACTGAATGCGATCACATGAATGACTTTCACCTATGTGAATTCATTTGTTATGATGGTAGGCAGTAGCGTTTACAAAGGGTTGAAAGCTATGCTCAGACGTAAAAAGTGTCTTTTGGGGAACACCTTGGAAGCAAAATCCTAAATGCATCCTAGGGAATGAGATAGATCAACGAGAGGATTGTGATTATGTTTTAAACAAAACCTGAGAATACTCTAAAAGGCTTACAGTGATGCAGAGAAAAATGATCAATGGGATAAAAGAAATGATAGTGGATAGACAATCAAACCGCATTCTCGAGGCAAATGTGAGGTTCCGAAATTGATAGGACCAATGTTATGAAAAACTTGAACCGGTCAAGGTACTGGTTCACGATTCAATGGTCGGACCGCGGTTTGAACCGTGGTCCAACCAGTCATAAATAAATTGATATATTTTAAATATTATATATTTAAAATAGAAATAAATAATTATATATAGTAACAAAAATGAATGTTTAAATTTCAAACAAAATAATATACAATAAAAAATATAACATCCATCAATATTACATTATTTTTATCCAAAACATATGCAAGTGTTTCATAATTCATAATTTATAACTTTAAAATATATACACATATACATAATTTATACATATTTCATATTTTTTTATTTCATAATACTTATTAGGTATAAATATGTATAAATTATAATTTTAAAATTTGAATTAAAAATAAAAAAATTAAAAAATAATATAACCGGTTCTTGCCCAGTTTTGACCGGTTTTACCGGTTCGTGACCGGTTCCTAAAATTTTCAGTTTTTTGTGATGACTGGACCGGACTTGAGACTGATTTTCAGTTGAACCGGTTTGACCGGCCGGTCCAGTCCGGTTTTGTTAACACTGGATAGGACGGAAGGCAATGTTGGTCAAATTCTGCAGTGCAAAGTTGGCCCCAAACGCCGATATTCACTGCCCTAAAAAAAAACGTAAAGGCAAATCATTTGCGAATTCATTCGAAACAAGTGGAAAATTCGAAGTTGTGTTGATCAAAGGCGCATCTCATGTGCACGTTAAGCAAAGATATGCTTTTCTTGATTCGCAAAGCAAAGCAGCTAGAACCAGATGCCCTCAACTTTTGATTTCTTTGGCCTCTGAAAGTGTAATTTACTAATTTCTCATTGGCATTCCTTTTTAATTCTTGCTTCTTCCTCTTCTTCTAGCTTTTTCATCTTCTACCAATAGCATAGCTTGATTGGCGTCGTTTCGTTGGCTTCTTGAAATTAAAAACTAAAAAATCTTGAAGAAAGTCATCGGGATTGATCATGGTGATTCTCGATCAACAGAAACAAATGTCTGAAGCTGAGCTAATTTACTTGTGGTTCAGTTCAGTCATCATTTTGCGCATGGCAGTTCTCAGAACGCGTGGCCAAGGACGTGGATTCTTCCATGACGACATTTTGATGTTGATATTATATTGATTGATTATTTAATTAATTAGTGAATCTTATTTATAAAATTTCTCTTTAATACAAGAGACGTCAACAACCACAACACAACAACAATAAACTTTATCTCATTAGTTGTATGTCATTAATTAATTTTATAAAAATGTTATTAATCAAGAGTTATCATTCAACAATTTAATAAATATTTTTTTTGTTTTTCTTTATCTCTCTTATAAAGGTTTAAGATTATATTTTCACTCTCGTTATCATTACCGGTGGCTCCTACAACTTTTTTATAATGGTCAAATCAAACCATCTCAAATGATTGTTTTACAATGCCTTTATTACAAGAGACATTTTCTATAAATTAATTAAACTTTCATAATTGATTTTCAGAAATATGTTTTCTACCGCCCTTATCATATTTGATCAAGAGTAATTTTGCGAAATTATAAAAGAAAAATTACATTAAACTACTTTAAATTAATTTTCATAATTTATACTCCCTCCGTTCTAAATTATAAGACAATTTTAGATAAAATCTTACATACCAATAAACCTCATTAAATACACCTAATAATCTTATTTTTTCAAAACAAAAATATAAACTTTTTAAAATACTCATCATTTAATATATTAAAAGAAGAATGGATGACAATTAATTATAGAAAGAGAAATGATAATATTGAAATTGGTGCATTTAATGAAACATTAATCTACCCAAAGTGTCTTATATTTTAGGACGAAGAAACTCTTTCAAAAGTACCTTATAATTTAAAATGGGGGAATATAATGAAAAAAATGATAAAAATTAATTATAAAAAGAGAAAGAGTTTTTTTTTTTTTTTGGTTAAGAATAAGAGATCTTCGGAGATAAAAGTACACATTCGGTTGACATAATCTAACACATTACAGCCATTATTTCAATTTGCACACTAATGATTTTCTCATTGTGAAATTAAAATATCAAAGCATTATTTTTGTTTGGAGTCTCATGTTAAAGGTTAGATTTATAATCCAGTTGATTTTTTTTTTATAACCATATGTATTCATGTTAAAATATTAAACCATATTCATTTTTTGGGGGAAAAATACTTAATGTTATAATAGTTGTCGCAGCTGATATTGAGCTAATGACCAATGACAATGGTGGCCAATGGTTTATGGCCAATAATATAACTTTTTATAGATCAAGGTCAAATGATGAGTTGGGTTTTTACCAGGGTTAATTAAGATAAGTTTAATGCTCAAAAATGTTTACAGAAATAGAAGTGTAAGATTTGAACTCACACCTTCTAAAATATAAGTTGCATTTTTATTAATTAAATGAAAATTAATTGACACTTACGCAACTTTTATGAATAAATATAAAAATATCGTTTCTAACAAAGTTTATCTTAAAAAATACTACATTCATTTAAAAATGTACAGTATTTTTAACTGAATTTCATCCTTTAATAAAATAGTTACTTGTCTTTAAACTAATTTTATTTTTTTCATATTTACCTCCATTTAATATAGAGTTTTATCTTAAAAAACTATAAAGTAATTTATTCAATAGAGGCATTTTTTAAAAAAAATAATTATCACACCTTGAAAAATTAAAAATGGCTTACATTTTTTAATGGAATGAATATATATTTGTTTGGCAGAGTTACCTTTTGTTTTGGGTTGATAATGCTTAAATTTAATTTCATAGTACTCCCTTTGTTTCAAATTATAAAATATTTTTAAATAAAATTACACATATCAATAGATTCATTTAATATACTTTACAACTTTATTTTTTTAAAATAAAAATATAAAATTTTAAAATGTCATTTATTTAATACTTCATTTATAACATAATATTAAAAAAAGAATATAATGGAAAGGGTAATATTAAAAAAATCTCATTAATAAGACCTTATTTTTATCAAAATATTTTATATTTTGAGAAGTCGAATATCCTCTAAAAATGTTTTAGAATTTGGAACGAAAAGACTATTAAATATATAATATTGTATAAAAAGAAACCTGCATTGACATTATAAAATACCAAATGTTACCACAAATATAATAGCAAATAATAAGTTATATAATATTTATTTCTTATATGGATATATTAAGGTACTTTCTATTTATTTTTGCATTTATCTTGCTTGAGTATTATTGTTTGAACATTATAGTTAATACTTTATTTATGAATCTAATCTAATCATAATCAAATATTTTAATGTGTAACATTCTTACAATATTAGTCTTATGTTATGGCATCACCATGCACAACAATGTGATCATTCTTATGCTCATCCATCACACAACTAGTGGAACCATTTTTTTTTTCATTTGTATTGATTCTCTTATAGAGATTTTGAGTGAGTGAGTATGAGAGATAGATATTTATGTACTTATTGAGTAAAACATTTATTGAAATATCTTTTGAAAACCTTGATAGCATTACTTTTATATCTAGCAATTTGGCGGAAGTAATAAGAAAATTTAATTATTTATCAAATTTATTTTAACACTTTACTTTTTAATTTGACATGAGGACAGACATGTTGAACTCAGAATTTCAATCCATCTTTAATTTACATGAGTTGTTTAATTATTATCGAAAAGTAAATATATTTTACAGTGCAGGCATTATAGTGAGGCCCAAAAAACGCTCTGCGAGGCCCAATAAATTATTCCTTGGGCACAAATCTGTATTATATGTGATATTTGGTCTCAAGTCATGAGCTTCGTGAGTGTAACCAATGTAAGGCCTTTATAAGTGAGATTAATCTAAAATATTTTTTTGTGTTTTTTTCAAGTCTCCTGAATTTTCGCCATCCAATTTACATAAAAAATTTTGCACAAAAAAAACTCAAGACTTTTGGGGGGAAAAAAGTGGTCATTTATTATTAGTGGTTGGGTACTTATCAAAAAATAAAAATCACATTACCAATTGGCATCCGATAATGATTAAATTAATCTAATCTAGTAATATTAAATACTAGATAATTGTGTTTAAAAATTGAAATTATTTTTCATCTGCTAATGATTAGAGTATACTAATAAGAACAAAACTGAAATATTTTTCTTTCAGATGTGTTTTTATGGATCAATAGAAACCTTTTCAAATTGGATGTTAAGAGAAGCATTTTTCTTATACTGTACACATCAAAAAGTTATAAACAAACCAAAATTTGTTGAAATTATCTATTCAGATTTTAAATAAAAAAGTATTATATAATTTCATGCATTTTAAGTATAAATTAAGGAAACCATGAATCAAACGAGCCAAAACCTACTTTAAAGGATAAAGCTGCAAGTTATTATTTATTATTCTAATAATAACTGAATCCCCAGTTACAACCCCTATCAGGCATATAAAATAATCATATTTGGGTCAAACAAACAATTATTAATAATCCCAATTATTAGTTTAATACTGACTCTTGCTTGCTCAAACATTAAGTTTGGTCTCATGCAACTAAAAACTAAATTAAAAAAATTAATAATTAGAATCCCTATATCCCATCCGTGCACCTATAATTAAGTAAAATATATTTGAATTGATTATTAATGAGTCCGCCATACAACATGTAATTATAAAACTCATAATGCTTTAATAGTTTATACATGTATACATGCACAGAGAAACAGATAATATTGATCTTAATATTTTCTTTTTCTCACACAGCCATGGCAAAAAAAAAAAATGTGCAAAAGAAAATAATACCAGATTAAGTCAGCAGCAAAAAAACATGCACCCGTGAAATGAGTTATGAAAAATTCTAATATTCAAACCTTTATTGTTAGCTTGATGGGCAAGCCAATTTACATGAATATTTTCTTTT